AGAGAAAAGCACCAGTGATATCCTTACTTGAGTGCTGATTGAATATTCTGCTCACTCTTGCTTTACCTTTAGTGCCAGCTACTTTTTTGCCTGGAATCCGTGAGTACTTTTTTTTTTTTTGTAATTACCTGCATGTTCTCTGAATTCTTCTGGTACCTCAGTTTCAAGGCACCTCAATTATAGCATCTCTCACAATGTTCCCCAGCTCTATCAAGTTCAGCTGGGATGGAGTTGGTTTTTCTTCACAACAGCCCATATAGGCCAGTGTTTCGGATTTGTGTCCAAAACAATGCTGATAATACAGAAGTGTTTTAGCTGTCGCTGGGCAGTGCTTGCACGGGGTCAAGGCCTTCCCTGTTTCTCCCTCTGCACCCTGAGCGAGTAGGCTGGGGGTGGGCAAGAGGTTGGGGTGGGACAGCTGACCCTGGCTGACCAAAAGGATGTTTCTTACCTCATGTTTCTTTCACCTTATCAATAAAAATGAGGGGAGGGGGAAATTCCAAATGCGGTTGCGCGGGGACTGGCTGAGATTCACTGTGTTGGTAGGAGATGGTGAGTAACCTTGCATCACTTGTGGGTTTTCCTTTTCGGCTGTCTTTAATCTCAACCCAGCTTTCTTCCACCCCTATGTTGAATATTTACTCTGACTGCTCTCAGCACTGAAAGCTGTCACCCGGCACCGACCTGCTTTGTTTCATGCGGACGTACAGCACGCTGGCCAAGACTAACTTTCCAGTGCCACCTGACTGCAGCTAAATAGCAGTAACAAGACAGGATTTTTAAACCCTTCCCTCGCTGGCACGGACAGCGCGTCCCTCTCCCTCAGGCGGGTGGCGGCGCGGGGCCGAGCGGAGCGGCGGGAGGTCGCGGGCGCCCTCTGGCGGCAGGCGGGGCCCTCCGCCGCCTCAGGGCCCGGCGCCGGCCTGCAGGTCCCACTGAGAGCAGCGCCGCGTCCCTGCACCCCCGTGGAACTGCTCCACTGTGGAGACCGCTGCTCCACAGGCTGAATAGAGAAGAAAATCTGATGGCGAGAGGGCCTGATTTTTTTTTTTTTTTTTGTCAGACCCCAGAATCACAGAATCAATTAAGTTGGAAAAGACCTCTGAGATCATCAAGTCCAACCTATGACAGAACGCCACCACATCAGCCAGACCATGGCTCCCAGTGCACATCCAGGCTTTCCCTAAACACCTCCAGGGATTGTGACTCCACCACCTCCTTGGGCAGTCCGTTCCAATGTATAATCAGCTTTCTGCAAAGAAATTCCTCCTCATGTACAACCTAAACCTCCCCTGGTGCAGCTCGAGTCTATGTTCTCTTGTCCTGTCGCTGGTTGCCTGGGAGAAGAGACTGACCCACCTTGCTACAGCCTCCTTTGAGGCTGTTGTAGAGGTTTATAAAGTCACCTCTGAGCCTCCTCTTCTCCAGGCTCAACCCCAGCTCCTTCAGCTGCTCCTTATAATCTTGTCACAGAAGACAGATGTGTCCAGGCCTTGCCTCCCTGTAAACATCATTTCTGGTATTATTTTAAAGCCTTAAAAAACCCAAACCCAGCCTCATGGGATTTGCTTTTCCTGTCACTCTCCACTACCCACCACTGCCACTCGCAGGCCACAGCCCTCTCTCTTGTGCCTCTGGGGTTAACACCACATTGAGAGAAAATAGAGGGTGTGAGAGGAGAAGTGAGGAAACAGGATCACTGCAGGACAACAGTCATTTAAAAAAAAAAAGAGGAGGGGATATTTTGAACCCAGGAAAGAAGGGATAAGGAGGGAGATGTGACCAGCACGCTGATACAGGGGAGCGCAGAGCTCTGATATCTGCTTCTCCACATCATAAAGTACAGGGTACAGGACAGACAATCCGGGAAGTGCAGGTGAAGAATGGTTGAACCTCCATCGACGCCTCCTGTGATCTGCTTCCAGGCCCGCCTTTGTTATACTTATGACTCTTAATCTGTAAACTCCTGAGGAGGCCTGTTGCTATCTGAAGGAGAGAGAGATTAAGAGATATTAAGGATATTTGGGTGTGGAAGAAACACCCTCAAGAAACCCAGGTGAGCTTTTCTTGAGCAGCCCAGCAGCACCACGATGGAATTGTGACCCAAACCCTGGTCCATGGAGGTGGAATTCAGTATCAGCCTCATTCTTTGTGGGTGTATGAATTAATCTCTGCAGTTTTCAGACTGTCCCTGAGTATCTAGAGAGGATGGGAATTTTTGACACAGGGTCCAGTCACAGTATTGTGAGTTACAGTAAGTTCTTTTTAACTGTACTTTCCCCCTTATTCTCGCCCCTCCCCATGACATTACAACAAGTTTTAATTTATTCTTTAAGGAGCTTGAAATAAAAAAAAAGGGGAGGGAAAGTGACTTTTTTGTATTTAATGAGTTCACACACCAGAGGCAATATCCTGTTCAAGTACAAATGGGAAGTGTTCCAGATGCCTCCTGTGCCTCAAAACCACGTGTCTGGATGTGTCTGGAAAAGCCTGTACACAAATGCAGCCTGGAGTTAAGTGTACTTAAGCTACCTGGTGTGCCTTACCCATTGGAACTTCTTACAGTGTTAACACAGGGGTGATGAGTCCCCATGGGGATGGAGTGCTGCTCCCTGGCTTGTGCTGGGTTCCCATGGTTGACAGCGCTGCCTGAAGAAGCCTGCTCCTGTCCCAGCCTGCTGCTTTGACAAATAGTTTTTAGCTCTGGATCTGTGCACTGAGCTCCTCCAGTGGCTGCTTCCCAGTGAGCAAAAGCCCCAAACAGCAGAGACTTTGACATACAGTGTGGTGTAGGGGCCTTTAAATAACAGCCTTTATTGCTCATTATTTGCACAGCCACCTAGCAGGAGAAAACATAAAGACAAAGTGCATTGCAGGAAATGCTGATGCAGGCAATTGCTGTGACCTGACCAGCATAGTAAGAAGAGAAGACACAAGAATTTACAAGATGCAGATCCAAAACACACTTGCACAGGTGACTAAAAGGCAACAGCCTGTGTTTCACAGAGCAGGACCTTCCTTCTCCCAGACACCCATTTCCAGTTTGATTTGACATGAATAGCAACTAGGAGGGCAGAGCTGCATTGAAAGTCAGACAAGCTCTCCTCATATGCATAAATACAAATTCAGGTGCCAATCTCTGGACTCTAAAGAATTAAAACATAGCCACTGCACTGGAAAGCATAAGCAGCACATGCCAGAAACAGCAGCACCACTGTGCATTAGGCCACGTTGGTGTATCCCCCACGTTCCCAATTTTAAGTAAGAGCCAAACCTACCTGGAATAAACCAGTCTGATTGAGGTGAACACTCTCAAAGCATCAGCAGAGATTCCTTGTGGCCCAGAAGGAGCTGGACTAGCTCAAGTTTGTTGGCGGTAATTTGTAACAGCTGCTCAGGACTGTGCTTGCTCTCCGGGTGCTGACATTTACTGCAGCTCTAGTGAGTTTGAGAAGACCCTTCTCAGTCTCTTATATGGTGGCTGAACCCCTCACTGTTTCCTTTCACAAGGCACTGCAGGTACATTAGAAGCAGCCCTGCTTAAATTGAGAAACCATTTTTCCTTTCCAGGAAAAGATAGTCAGAAAGTACATTCTCCAACTAACAATGCATTTTAATCTATTTTGGTCTTGGATGACAGAGTGACAAAGATCTTTTACAGTTTTATAGATAAGTTTTACAAAAAGAAGAAACAAATAAAGAAGACACTGTAACACAACAGACACATGGAGAAACTCTGCACTGGTTAATCTAGCTGTTCTAGATTTACAGCTGTTTCTGAGCTTAGATCACTCACTAGTGTCTCTTATATCATGACCCAGTAAACTCCTCATTTCCAGCAGACCACCTAATTGTGCAATTACCTGTTAGCTGTTTAATAGGACACATGATTTTAAATTAAACACTGACTTAATTGGTCTGCTGGACAGGCAGAGACATTGCAGCTTTAATTGCTTTTACCGAGTTGGGGTCTCAGTCAGTTCACGGCAGCTGGGAGAAAGGGCCCTGTTACCAAAAGTTTCATGTCCACCTAGAAATTCATTGCAACAGTTTCTGCAGTGCTCCCTGCTTATTTCAGGGAGTCTTTAGAGAGAAGGCTGAAAAACCAAGCTACCAATACTCACTGATAAAACGAGCCTCCTGAAGGTTTGTGTCCTGACGCGATCCCATCGCCCGGCAGCGCTGTGCAGGGCCATCCGGCGGTTATCACACGACTGCAGAAGCCATTTGCCAGACACCAAATGCAAAGTGCAGCCCGGTACAGCTCTTTGAACGTGGCTCTGGCTATCCCAAGGAAGGGAGAAGCTGAATTAACAAGATGAATCCCACAGGCTGGAAACCTAGTAGCTTGTGCATGAGTCACTACGGTGGGAAATGTCAGCAACAAATCCAGGTCAGTCTTACTCTCCCTCCATTAAGAGGAGCTGTTGAGGAGCCACTGGCCTCCTCCAAGGTGATGCTATGGTATAATAGGGGACCCTTTGCAGATGCCTCCAGCTTGCTCCTGAGTGACCCTCCCGGTGAGAATCAGGCACAGCCCAAAAGGCAGGTATGGCAATTGCCAACAGGTGGTGTTTTCAGCATCTTAATGTCTACTTACGCCTTTCAAAGCTCAGGTGGGACTTAGCAAAGAAAGGAAAGGGAGCAAATGAAATGAGGGCTCAGGCTAAAAGGAAAACCAGCCCTATATTTGCAGCTGATATCCACCCTCCAATCAGCACTGTGGGATGTGGCAGAGAGCTATTGACAGAGCTCTGCACACTGTGGCTCTGAGCAGCCTTCCGTGCTTTGGCAAAGCATCTGAACGCAGATGCTCTTCTGCCCTGGGAAAAAGATACATTTCACAAATCTAAACATGTCACCTCAAAGGGAAAACTATTTATTATTAATGATACCATTAGTGCTGTTTTTCCAACAGACTGAGGAGATTAAATAATAGGATCTGAAAACTAACCAAATGTTCAGACCAAACTAGAGAGAAGACATACAGACACACAAACTTTGCAGTGACTTAAAACAGTTTAATGTAATTCCAAGACAAAGTGTGATTACATTTCTACACATATACAATATGCATATGTGAGTTGACAAATTCTGATTAATAACTCGTTTCACCTCAGAGACCGAAAAAATGATCAAAAAGAAACCGTGAATAACAAGCTATAACATAGTTCACCACAACGGGACCTCCTTTCTCACCCTACAGTTAGTAATATTACAATTAAAATAACTATATTCTTCTATAATGTATTTTCTGTTAAAATCATCTCATAAATTTACAATGCTATTATTAGTTTCCAAGACTAATATAAATTCACTCCATTTTTCTACAACGAAAATGATTATTAATTAGAAGCACACAACGTCATGATGAAAAACACAAGCATTTTTTTTTTTTTAGTAGCAAGAACTTGATTGGTTAAGAATTAGTTTTCTTGTAAAACATTCTAAAGCCAAGTAAAATATCCATTCTTATAACATACCTATAATATGAGACTAAGGAATAGGTTACATATAGGTCTATAACACATCAGTTTGTTTTTGTTTTTTCTTTTAAAAGAAGAAAGACATATTACTAAAAGAAAAAAGAAAAAGAAAAAAGAGGAAGGAAAGAAAAAAAAAAGAAAACAGAAAAGGGACAATTCACATAGGTAAAAAGCAGTACACAAGAAAATACTGTTGCACACAATAATTTTCACAAAGATTAACATGGATTAACACTCTTATTACAGAAACCGTACAGTGAAGGAACACAACGGCTCAGGGCTTTCGTGGGGTTACTGGGCTGAGATGATACTGTAGAGAAAGAACCACTTGAGATCCAGAGCTGGGGCAGGGGCATCTTTTCTCTTGTGATTACAATAGCATTTCACAGCTCCGCCCCCCCTTCCCCTTAATAATTTTGGTGCAGTGTATATTAACTTCCACTTTCCATCCAGAGTACGCTGGGCTTGTGGGCAGTCGAAAGGCATAAAATGTTCCCTCCATTTCACCCCTTCCGTTTTTAAAAGGATTTTACAGCTCATATAAAAAAAAAATGTTTCACCCATTGGTTCATTTTTAACTACCTTAATCTAGACTTTTCACCTTCCAAGATGCCCCTCCTTCTTCTCTCTTTCTCGCTCCCTCTCTATCTCTCTCTCTCTCTCTCACACACACTCCTTTATTAAAGCTATTAATGACACTTCCTCTCCTTTCAGAAATTGGATTTGGTATGAAATATACAGGCTACATTCTGGTTCTGCCCAAGTAGAATCTGGTACCCAAAATGCCTTGATTGCTTTGTTGGTGAAACATGGGATGGGTAGATCCTTTTTACACCTGAAATGGTTGTGCCCTGGAATATCTGTGGAAGTTTCATTTAAAAGAATACAGAGCAAAAAATATAAAAGAAAATTAAACAAAGATCAAACACATAAGGGATAACGGGGGAAAATAAAAGTCAGAAGTGTTGTATGTAACCACGTGAGGTGGGAGCGCTCAGAAGCGCTTTTTTCCTTGTGAGGGCAGGGGTGCTATATGTAACCATCCAGATCCTATGGGATGTGCGTTGCCAGTGTTGGAAACCCTTCTTGCCTAACAAGCTGCAAGCCAAAGTATTCATCAAGACTCTCTGGCTCCTTCATTTGAGTGTGCTGGTATTTGCAAGTCTGACTCCTTCCCAAAAGAACAGGAGGCCAGGCAGGAGCTGGGGGCAGCAAAGCCTGTGGATTGGGTGGTGGTGCATGGTGAGGGAGGGTGGGCTTTTTCCATCTGGCCCGAGTGCTGCTGACAATCCTGGCTTGCCGTATGATACCTTATCGCTTTGGGGATGTGGACAGTGGGGCAGGCGCGGCCTCCGGAATGATGCTGCGGGAGGAGGAGGCGGGTTGCACTCGCCTGGCCCCACCGCTGCTGATTGTACTGGGAGCAGCACATATACATATTTTTAAATGCCAGTTCCTTTACTTTCATGACCTCAAAGTACCATTTTGCCCAGCAGACATTTATACCGTGTTCGTTGTTTACCCAAGTGAAAGAACACAACAGAAGAAACTAGACAGGCTAAGTGAGACCAGGGAGTGGGGAATGTGATATATCAAAATGCAAATTACAGGGTAACAGCAGCAGAGAAACATCATTATCGGGAACTGGCATGGGCTGAGAAAACAGAGTTGACAAGGAGATGGTCAGTGAACTTTGTATTTTGTTTACTGGTTTAAAACATTTCTGTGGTGGTAAGCATCATTTGTAAGAAAGGGGTGAACAGATGAAAGCCAAATTACAGCATTGCCTCTGAGTGGCTCACGCACACAGACACACATACACACTCTCACAAACACATCCCTAACCCCACCCCAAAAATAAAACAGGCATTCACTAACTCAGGAATTAATTGTTTGGCTAATGATTTATCAACAGTACAATACAATCCTTCCTTTGAATATCCTTCATTCTCCTGATGCGGGTATCTTCATCCAGATGAGGATCCTACATAGAACAGTGAATTTCGTGTCGTGATCCCTGCTTCAAACCAGGGATGCCTGATAAAGCATATTATTAAAACAAGAGAACAAACAAATAGCTTATCTGTTGAACTAAATATTCAAAGTGGGTGGAGTGTTTTTTCAATCAGACTTTGGAATACAGTGGATTACTTCATCTCTGGACTGACTTTCCAACACTATGTTATATCTCAAAACAGAATATACATATTAAAAACACACTTGTACTTTTCCATTTTTAACGGGTGAAATTAAAAAGAGGCAGCTGTATTGAGTTTTTGAAGGTGACACTTATAAACACAAGATTTCCCTTAAAAAGTACCAGTTTAAGTGTAAACTATAAAACACTGTAATAACTATAAAATGTAGCCAGAAAACTGTTAAGTAGCCACAGTCTATTATTCAGTTCACATTGGTTTAAAATGTGACTCATTAATATCTTCTAGAAGGCCAAAGCATTTTACAGTAGCTATAAACATATATACTTACATGTGCATTTTAACATCACAATTGATTAAAATACATAAAAGAGTAATCTATTCCTTGGTTTATTTTTTTTTTCCTTTTTAAAGATTCACTGTCTTCAGAATTCACTCAAGCAACAATGACCAGGGTGGGCATTTATCGCTATTCCGCCCCTATGGAGTTCAGAGTCTTTGAATCAAAGTTCAAGCTGGCTACATGATTTCAAAAAGGCTAAAACCAGGATGAATGCCCACATTTGAGGTAATTATTGCCATTAGGTCACAGTTTGTGTAATGTAAGTGTATTTAAATCCTTCTTTTAAAAAAACAAAGGTATCCCACAGTACCAGGGGATACCCTTTGAAGCAATCAGAATCCAGAATCCTGATCAGTGGGTTTGCTTCCAAAGGAGCCGGCGGTCCCAGCGCACGAGGCACTCCTGGGACAGTTGCTGACCAGCCTAGAGCTCAGGCGAGCAAGCCTGCAACAAGCCTTTTTTTCTATTTTTTACTTTTTTTAAAAGAAAAAGAAAACAGAAGGAAAATCAGAGGTGCCATAAAATAGATGGATAACATTTCTGATCAGAATTCCAGACCAAAGCTTTTCTAATCTGTCTTATTCCTTTCCAAACAGTTTGCCAAAAAAAAAAAAAAAAAAAGAAATAAAAGAAAAATAAAAATACATCGGCTTAAATATTAACTCTATGCCAGCACTGCAAAAACTCCTTGGCTATGTTCTGAAAGTGGGATAAGCTTTGCTTTTTTTTGAGCATTGTTGCCCCATTGCTTTCTGTTTCAAGAGGAAACCTTGTTTGAATGAAAGAAAGAAAGAAAGAAAAGGAAGAAGAAAATGAGGAAGGAAATGAAAGAGGGAGGGAAGAAGAGAGGAAGGGAAGGTGGAAGGAAGGAACAGAAGAAGAGAAGAAAGGAGGGAGAGAGGAAGGGAGAAAGGAAGGAAAGAAGGAAGGAAAAATAATCCCTGGCTGTCAGAAGTACACACAAGTATTTACAAGGTTTGTGTGAATCTGCACACAGTTCCCCTCACAGCAAAAGAGTTAAGAACAGAGATGTCACAATATTTATCAGTGCAGTAAAAAATATCATTTTTGGAAAAAAATATACCTTTAGTATTGCCTTTCTTAGATTAACTATGATAAGCAAGAGATTAAAAACAAAAACTTTATCTTCAAACACACATGAATAGTCTGTTATAGCAGCACTGCTAGAACTGGAAGGACAAAGCTAACCCGTAAATGAGAAACAGGAGTTTCAAACCACAAATGCCGAATGCAAAGCCTCCTAGTATGCTTTCTAAGACTTCTGAAGAACCAAGCCAATCTACCATTCAAATTTCACTCTCCACACACACAAATGCTCTAAACCCACGTTTTCCCACTGAAAGCATTTGACACACGCAGAGCTCACCTCAGTTTACCTCCAGACGGGTTCTCACACCTCCACCTGCATCAGCAGCTCCTCACATGTAACTAACTAACTACTGCCTCTGGGGTCATTCCCAGTGATTATGTTTGCCCCAAGGGAACAAGACACCTTCAGCACAGAGCCCTGGGTTGGCAGTGCTCCCCTGCACACTGCCCAGGCTTACTTCCAGGGGCTGCCCCTGCAGTGGGTCTCGCTGCGTGCCCGGGGTGGGTGTGAGCGTGGTGGCATCACAGCAACACACACAGTGTTCCCGGGGGGTGGGAAGGATGGACCACAGGGATGGAGACCAGCCTGGAAAGCCCAGTGCCTCTCATCCAATGCAGTACTCCAGCAAGGAGCCTACACACAGCCTTTGACAATAGGACTGTCACCATCTTTTCGAGCACTGCTGTAAAATGGTGTAAAAATGGTGTAAAAAACCTCACTCTGCAGCCCATGGTGGAATTCTCACGATCATCAGAGGCAGCTTTGTTGGAGTATGGCAGCAGGAGAACCTCAGCAACACAGACTCATCTTCTCCTCCCTAAGTGTGGAGAGAGCAAAATGATTTGTAGGCACATAAGTGAGCTTCAAGAAGTAAGATGGGGACTCCTGAACTTCAGACACAGGCCCTTCTCAGAGGAGCACTGAGGGGGGTGATATAGATGGTGCCCAGGACCACAGATTAACTGCTTTGAGGCTCCCACAGCACACGGGACCACAGCAGGGACAGCTGTGTCAACAGGAAGGGGGAAACCATTTCCTTCCCACATTTTTCTCTTCTGCATTGCCTATCCCCTGCACACCTTGCATACAGGTATCTAGCATTTGGCCCACAAATAGCACTGCAGTTCTCTAATGGGCTGATTGCCAAGCCATGGAAGAACATGAGCGTTAAGTCCAACATCCTTGCCCAGCTGTGCCTGTCCTGACCATGGCACCACTGTTTGGGGTCCAACCCACAGAACAAACCCAGCATCCTAAATCCAGAGAAGGAGACGCTACAGAAGCATGCAGAGCATCCAGAAGCTTATCCCCACTACACAGCTCACCACTTCCACACTGCATTGTCACCACTACAACACTTAAATCAATGCGAACAGTAACGAGAGAAGAAAAACACTTTCGACATCCCCTACAGTTTAGGATAGCAGCAATATTTAGTGTGAATTTCTCTGCTCATCAAGCTAGTACTCAAAACCATGGCAGAAACTTGAGAGAGAGAGACAAAGAAAAAAAAGGGATCAGAAAATGGAGTTCCACTGTGTATCCTCATTGCCTGGTGCTCATGACTCGTGGTTTCATTTAATTTCTGAAGTAGGTGGGCCTCTTTCTCTCTTTCTTAAAAAAAAAGTATCTTTGGTTAAAGAAAAAAAACAGGTTTATTGCCCTTCAGATTTGCTAATGGAATTGCTTTCAAACCAAGCTAAAAAGACACAATTCCTTGAAAGTATAAAAAAAGGAAAATTGTCACAGTCAGAAGTGTCCCTTTCTTGGAATGTTTTACATATTATGACAAAACTACTAGAGAAAGAGAGAGAGTAAGAGACCTGCCAAGGCCCAATTTGTTGGGTACAAGCAGGTAAAACTCTGCCGAGGAAGATGCAATTGCATTGGCTCTCTCAAATGACTAGATTTGACCCAATCTACAGTGAGAAGTGCTTCCATTTGGGTTATCCAATCTGCTCATGTTGGCAGTTCTCTCCCTCCCTGTTGCATTCTGGCTTCACAGCAGGAAATTGAACATCCACCTCTGAGGAGAGGCAACGTCAGTGCTTTCTGCACAAGAAGAATGCAATACAAGATAATGGGGAAAAGGACCACTCTTTCACTGTGCCAGCCATAAGCCACCCATAAAACTTCCAGCATCTAAACATTCGCCTCCCCCCTCAAGTTTCCATGCCATTTACCCCATGCACAGAAGGAACACCGACTGAACCAAACCACGCCAATCCCATTTCCTCTCCAAAGGATTCTGCAAACAAAACAAGCTGGCTGTTATGTGTGCGGTACCGACAGCATGCAAAGCTTTTGCTTCCTCTGCTGAAATGACTGTTTCCCCTGTGACTAACCACACCTTTTTCCACACAATGCCTTTGTACAGGTGTGAGGGAGGAGGTGTTGCTCAGCTCCCTCATACCCGCCAGAAAACAGCTCTCACACAGTGTTTCACCATCAACGCAACTTGATGGTTCTGCTGTGCATCTCTTGCAATCAGCATCCCATTACCACGATCACCTGACCACCTACAGCTGGCAGACCAGCAACTCCAGGATGGACAACGTGAAAAGTGGCTCCTTCGATAGGCACTGCACCCCTTCTCACAGCCATCCTGTGCTGTTGTAACAGCTCCACTGCCAAAAGCCATCCAAAATCAGGGCTGAGCCCACGTGGGAGAGCAGGTCAGATGGGAACACAGGGAAAATGCAATTAGTACAAAGTAAAACATTACTGTGATTTCGCTGGCCCTAGGCTAGAGGAGCACATAAACAACTATTTAACTTGAAGGGTTTAAGTCAGTTCTTTAGTAAAGCACTCAAGCACATGATTAACTTTCAGTCTCTGCTGAAGTCCTCTAATTTTTTAATGGAATTTAAATTCAGTCACTGCTTCCCCCTATTCTAACAGAGCAGGTAATGCAAACGAAACCATAAATGTCTAAACTGTAACAACCAGAACAGCTTAACAAAATTCCACAACAAATAATTATAAAAGAAGGGAAAATCTACATCAGGAACAAACAATGACCCAAAAAAAAAAAAAAAAAAAAATCAAACCAAGCATCCTGGCCCTGCGGACATCTAACTAGCCTTCAGTAAGAGCAGAAGAGCAGGGGAGGAACACTGCACTATCTGCAGCCATGCTTTACCCAGCTGATGCCAGCCATGTGCGCCAGTGTGCTTTATCCAGTGATGGGACTGAGCCGCACATGCGGCTGCCGTGGCTCCTTCAACACCCCTGTTTCTGGAGAGCCACCTACCTACTTTCTCCTTTAGGAAAACCAAACCCTTAACCTGTAGTGTGGCCTTGGACTCATTGACAGGGCCCAGTGATCGTGGCCTGGAGCACAAATAAGTCTTAATCTTATATAATGTCCTATCAAACTGATTGATGGTGAGCTGGATCGTGGGGCGCTAAGGTCCTTACCTGCCTTTCATCCAGCTCTCCTGACCAATCATTATGTTAGCTGCTGTTGGGTTTTGGCCTCTTAATGAACGTTTCTGGACTTATTCTTAAATGCAGATGTGACCCAGAGGATAATTCCTGTTCCTCAAGGCTGTAACTACTCTCACTGAGTGGCCTCACACCCCCCAGGTTAGTGGCAGTGTTTTCATCCTTGGAATAATTTAATTTCTCCTCTCTCCTGCAGTTCTCACAATCACAGCAACCCTTCCAATGCCACTGATGAAGAGAAATAAAATTAAGAACAGTAACAACAATACTAAGAGAAAAAAAACCCTATAAAGTTTAAGGAATGCGTGTGCAATTAAAACCCAGAGTAAAATACAATAATAATAAAATAATAATCATAATCATAACAACCATAAAATAAAATAACATTATCTTTCCTTTTCATGACATAAGCAGCATGATGCTCTTGCTCCCAAACTGGTGGGAGAGAAGAGGAATGCAAGAGAGAGAGAGCAGGGCTTTATTTTCCTGCCTCAAGTGAAAGGGGACATGTTGTCTTTCCAATGGAAGAGGGGGTAAGGTGCATAGGCTGCTGGGAGACTGCATCCTCATCTACAGTATATTGAGCTGGAATGAAGGATAGGCAGGAAAAGAAAACTGTGCAATGGTAGCCCAGGAACCAGAGCTGGCAACCAGGGAGGTTATTTGGTGGTTTGCCAGAAGACAACAGCTTTGTTGAACAGCCTGTGCATAGTGGGATCCCTTCTTCCAGGCCAGCCAAGCACCTACCACAAGCCAATATATTTGTGCTTGCCTTTCCGTCAGCTTTTCCAACCTGAGAGAGCCTTCTTCATCACTTCCACTCAGGGAAACCATCCCTTACCACCCTGCCAATGAACCTCCTATTTTCCAGCATCTTGCAAAATACTTGACTACTTCATACTCTAGTTACAGGGAAATGTAGAGTAGAACTGAGTAGCCACACAGACTTCAGCTTTCATGGAAATGTTGTACCAGATTCCTTTCTCTCCTTCCTCCTTCGGACACCCACAGGCATGGGTACTCTAGAGACATTTCCAAGTACTGATGCACCAGGGAAACTCCCCTCTGAACCAAACCAACTACAGGAAAGGCTCTCTTTGGAAACTGTTGGAAAACAAGACGACCATGTAGCATTCCTTCGTGTGGAGGACTGCAGCACCACCATGCTCTCCAGTTCCAGGGTCACTCTGCCACTGCAGGCAGTTTTTCAAGGTGTAGGTGAGAAGAGAGGAGGGGAGGCACGCAGTGTCACAGCTCTGTTAGAGTGGGTAAGGCTTGATGTATTAAAACACTCTTTTCACTTAAGAAACCTGAGATTGACTCTCTCAACTGGATTTTCTCATGCTTGCTCTGGGACTCCATCCCTCTCCTAACCCCTTCTCATCAACAGACACAGTGAGAGATGTTGGCAACAACTAGTGTTTCCCCCTTTCAAGGGCTAAATGTTTGTTCCCATTTCAGACACACAACCAGGACAACCCGATGATGAGGGCGGACGCTGTCCTCCCACTCCATCAAGAACATCGTCAAACAGCAGAATGAGAATTCAGTTTCCGGGGAGGAAACCTGCTATTACAACAGGACGGAAACAGACCAGTCCAGAAACAAGTCCCCAGACCCTCTGGGAGTCACCCTGGGTCTCACAACTGACCCGGTAACTTCCAGCCCATCCAGTGCTTGACAAAACACTTCTGACCCCAACGAGCCTCCCCAACACCTCGCCGAGTGAGCTGAGATTGACAACGTGGGTTAAAAACCCAACACCACCAGCAGAAGGAGAAAATCGGCAATAACAACCTAAAAAAAAAAAAAAAGAAAAAAAAAAAAAAAAAAAAAAAAAAAGAAGAGAAAGAGCTGAGAGTAAATTCCGACTAGCCTCAGTCAGTTTCTAGGAGTACCAGTGGAAGTAAACCCTTAAACCGCATCTGTAGTTCGGTAAGGCACTACGAGGGAATGATGTAAAACTAAGACTGTGACAGTTGTAATGGCTGTGCCGAGGAACACACCACAGAGAGAAGGCAGCATCTGCACGCACACACACACACCCACACACACACACCTGGACAATCACATTTGTTACATGCCTATGTTATATCACTTTTCTTTGTGCAATCACATTGAGGAATAGTCTATTGGTATCGTTGAAGTTGAACACAAAAGAGTAAAAAGGGGTATGACCTGTATAGTGCTACATTCTACCGGGGCTGGGGGGTAGCTAAAATGTCTCCTCCTATACTAAAACAGCTAGGGATTAAAAAGGAACATTTCTAAAAAAAAAACAACCAAAAAACAAAACCCCAAACAAAACAAAAACCTACAACTGAAATCCAATATACATTATTAGAGATCTTGTTTAGGAACAGCATTTCTCAGGGATTTATCCAGTGTGTTCAAGAAAAGGGAGAAACACCCCCATTGCTTCTGCTCTGAACCAGTGCTCCATGGCCTGATTTGCCCAGATGGGTGTAAACGTAGCAGTGTTAGGTCCAAATTTAGAGCACTGGGACAACGTTTTATCCTCCTACCTCAGCCTCCCTTACCCACTTTCTTTTTCCATTAAAAATCCCCCAAAACCTGTGTATACTTTGGGATATGAAAACCACTGCAAAGATGGGGTATAAACCCTTTGAAAAGCTGGATAAATCCCTAATTCATATACTTATAGGATTAAAAACCCAATGGATTTCATTTTAGGTGTTTTGGACAACAAATTTCTAAATGTAGCTCACTATTGGATGAAAATAACCTTTAAAAGTCTGTTGCTGAAGTTCTTCAAAAGACAGGACCCGCTGGAGGGTCCTTCTGCTTCTCTCTTTCTCTCTAGTTTGGTGCAGAATGGTTGGTTTTTGTGGTTTATTTTTTTTTCTGTTCTTTTTTTTTCCATTTTCTTTTTTTTTTAATTTTTTAAATAAAAATTGCAGAATTGGTTCTCCCCCTTCTTTCCTCTTTTCCTTTTCTTCCTTAAAGTCTCCTTCGTTCAAGTTTCACGTGAGCCTCCCATTGCATTGTTAAGTTTCTCATGTTCTTCAATACAAAAGCGGCTGCCTCACTCCCCCCGGGATGGGTGCGTCTCTCGCTCTTTTATTCCAGTGTTTAGATGTAAGGGTACTGGTTCACCTTGGTGGGGCTCAGTGGGTATCCAGTGTAGACTGTGGAGGCTGGAGAAGCACTGATATAGGTCTGGTGGGCAAACTGAGCCTGGTACTGGCTCGGGTGGATGGTGGGTGAGGGCAGGACGCGTGGGCCCATGCTGACAGGGACCTGGTGGACGATGCTGGTGGGGTAGGTGGTGTGTTGCACCGCGTGCCGTGCAGACCCTTGGGAGGCCACCAGGTGCGCGACGGTGCCCGTGGAGCCCAGGGCGGCGGGGGCGGTGTATGTGTAGAGGTGGGGCTGGGTGGGCAGGTGAGCAGCGGCCGCCGCGGCCAAGTGGGGATGAACTGTACCATGGCTGGGACTATTGTGCGGGAAAGAGTACGGGGCCTGAGCTATCGTTGGAGTGATGTAGGCTTGCTGTCTCCGGTGACTCCCTGTGCGGTCGGTCGTGATGTGCTGCTGGGCCTGGATAAAGACAGCAACAGTGATAAGCAGTTACAACACAAGAGATGGCTCTTCACCTCCTCAGTAGTGCCTGGGAACCTCCCTGCAACACCAGGACAGCCTCAGGGAAGTCTCCGGTGCTCCTCCTCACACCCTCAGCACCACCAGTCTTCCCTTGGAAACGGGTGACAGCACTAAGTCCCTCGCAAGCCTAGGTTTCATTCACCATCCCTGTAGTTTCTTACATTGACCAAAACGGCCCCCAAAAGGCCAACAAGTCCCTCAGTTTGAGCCACAAGCTGCTGGCACAGCTATCACAAAGACACAGCCTTGGATGCCCAGCTCCCAGGAACATCTTCCACAAGTCCGCTTGCTCACACAAAACCTGTTTGTTGTTAGTGAACTCTCTGCTGACAAAATGTGCTGTGCAGATATTGCCTAACTATGCCTGGAAAAGGCATTTTATTTTTGCTCAGTTTGGGTGTTTGCAGTTTACAATTTCCTTGGTTAGTAAAAATAACCACGTTAGTTTTTTAAAATATAACCCTTGGTTTGATCAGATCCTGCAGGTGTCTGGTGCCCTCACGCAATCTGCTATAATTACTTGGGCACAGGAAACTTCTTGCAGTGGGACAGGAGCAATGCACTTTTTCTCCAGGGATTTTCTAGGTTGTTTTCTTGCACTGCACAATAATGTAAGGAGTTTTCCCTGTCATTTGTAGTCAGAGTATTAAATTACTCATAAAGTAGGAATTAGAAGGCAAGAAGGAAAATGCCCCATGCTATTTTCCAGCTCTTGCAAACAGCATCTCACCCAATTCCTCAATTTTCATGCACTTTTATTTAAAATTTGTTCCCATTTTAAAATTTCATCTGCATTTTGAGGGCGAGGGGACATTCTTCTCCATCAAATTATTTTTCTTTTTAAAAAACAGCTCTGTTCATCCACCTGTGGATGCAAACCATCACCATCCTCTGAACTCTCCTTTTCAGGACTTTCTCCTCTTGAAACACTGGTAATTGTGCTGTAACTTCTCCACTCTTGGAGAGTAGAGAACAAGCAACAAGTACATCTTGTTACCTCACCTCAGGGACGAGAGAGGCCCCAGGTGCAGGACGTGAAAAGGCAATTATTTACTGAAGCTCCCGTCTAATCACAGACTACGAAAGATTTTGAGAACTGCATGTTTCCAAGAAATGGGATTTGCCCAGATCTCAGCTCAGGTTTATCACAGGATGGATCAAACTCCTAGGTCATGTATATGCACAATGAGGTCATATGCTCATGAGGTCATGAGTATGAACAGAGGCTTTGCTTTGACTTTCCCAGCTGGGCTGAGGCACTTCACTTAGAAGAAACCCTTCCCATGGTTACCTAGAGCTAAAGAGAATTCAGCCCTTCCTACATGCTCCTGCTCAATTCTGTTGGGGCCAAGCTGCTGCACTTCCCTCTCACGTTATTCCCACTCACACTGTTATTCCCACTCACATCTGACTTTAGAACATGTGGTAAGAGTACCACCAGCCCACTCAGGGGTGTGATCTGCACTACCCCTGCTGCCTGAGCTGGAAGATCAAGGTCTGCAGTCAAGTAAAAACAGCTGATCAAACTCAACATGGGGCTCAACTATCACTAGACTGGAATGGGACAGCCCGTGCTGGAGGGGCAGTAGGGAACAGCCAGATGATGCACCACCAAAATCAGTCTCGGTTGACTTACCTGACTTAGATTAAGAGGCTGCTGCTGCTGGAAATGTGCTCCTGGTCGCTGCTGCCTATAGGCAACGGCTCCAGACGAGCTCCCTGAAGAGTGACCGCTGGTGGAGGTCACGGTGCTGGAGGACTTGGACTTGTAGGAGGATGAGTGGTGACTGGTGGTGACTGTGCCAGGAAAGGAAACACATTTGTAGCTTACATCACATTCTTTAATTGCTCACCCTACCTTTTCCTCACTGAGTCTCCTCCAGAGTGGCTTTTGGGAGGAGACATACAACAGAAGCAGGGTAAGAAAACTGTTTCTCTTAATTAATTATACCTCAGCAGTACTTCATATACACCACCAGCCTGTTATCCTAGAGGCAGACAAGCAGACTTGATAACTGGACCCAAAGTAGGCCTGAAGAAGGCTTTACAGACCCTTCAGAAGTGCGAGAAACTGTTCTGCCAGCAGAACTGTACAATGCAGGTACAAATCCCAAGGAGAGGAAGAAAAGTATGGTGTGCACAGCATAAAAAGTCCCTGACTTGCCTAACATCAAGGTGAGTGGGAAGGGAGGGAGAAGGTGCTAGTGGGAAGCTCACCCTTTGAACCTTTGTTTTCACCAGCAGTGCATCAAAAGCAAAGACTGCCAAGTAGCTCAAAACCAGTTGCTTCATGCCAGACTTCCACCATAAACCTCTTTTCAACACATCCTACTATCTAGCATTGCAGAGGTTCTGGATGAGCAAACCTCATCAGTCCATAATGAAGACCCTGGGGAAATGTTCTTCTCAGAAACGTCAACAAGTTTGGATGAAAATTCACACATGTTTTCAATCTCTTACCTATTTTAAAATACACCTACGGAAAGGCAAGGCAGCAAAGGTTCACACCTGCATTTGTGAGCCTTTAATGTCAAACGCTGAGCTACAGGCTGCATTCTGTTCTTGGGTTTGTACAGAACTAACTGGGTCTGACACTTGCCCCCGTGACTCCTGAGTGAACCAGAGCACATAAATAATGCAATATGGCTCCCAAGAACAGGTGTGTCACATGAGAGAAGGGCAGGAGGCAGGAGCACTTTTTTTTTTTTTTGAGAAAACAAAACAAACAAACAAACAAACAAAATGAAACTGAACAATGAGATTCTTCCAAGATAAATCATTTATTTCTTACTAATTTTCTTGACGGAAGAGGTGCAATTTACCTGGTGCCAGGCTATCGCACTCTACCAACACCTCACTGGCCTGGGTTTTCAGTGGTGGCACGATGATCGTTCGGGGGTTCCCACTGCAGTGAGTCTCTGGAACCCCTTTGGTGTCGTAGCTGTTCCCGTTATTCTGCCCTGCGCGATGTTGCACGGCGTAAGGGCTGTTGTTGCTGGAGGAGTCGGAGTAGGGGGAGTCATGCACGGTGACACAGCTGATGACATTCTTCCTTTGCTTGGACAAGGTGCTGAAACACAAGCAGACAAGTGGAAAGAGTGATCAGGCAATGATCAACTCGAAACCACTAGAAGACTCTGCCTGTGGCAGATGAGCTCCATAAAGGCAAAGCACACCCTTCAGTCCTCTGCCAGAGAGAGGCTGCTTAAGCCAAATCCCAGGCTTCAAAACTCACTCGTTACTATTCCAGGAAAGCCCTCATGGAGGTCAAGGAGTGAGTAAGACATTGTGGATAGATCTTATATTCACACTGCTGAGAATAGCACTGAACCAGACTGCCAGATTTATTTTCAGACTGTTTTTTATGTATGTGTGCAGTAAAAGCCCAACACTTATACTATGCTTTGTTGCGAGTCTCACCACCCACACAAAAACGTGGCGGTTTCTCCCAGCCTTCCAGCAATTATTTAATAATAGATGCTATGAATTTTCATGCTTAAATTCCATGAATCTACAAAATACACTCCATTCTATTTACTAATATGGTGCAATGGGCATATATGCTCAATAAGCATCTGAAAATAAGGAATGAATGACAAAGAAATGAGCAATGGATGTAATGCTTTTGATTTTCTTTCCTTTCTCTGAATAGGCACTGGGTCTCCTGACTCTAGTGTAGAATATCAAGGTCCTGCTGCAACTAATCTATCTATGACATCAAAAAAGTGATTAAAAAAGAACATCAACACTTCCAAGATTAGTGCTCGAAGTTCATTAGACTAGACTGCATGAGTACGATTGGGATTTGCTCTGCTATTGTGTCTAATTATTCCTGATGGTTTCTCCTTCCTGTTATGAGCTTGTTTAGGGAGAAAAAGAGAGCGAGAAAGAGGAGGGAGGAAGGGGGATGGTGAAGATTTGCTTAAATGGCTCACATCCTTGACAGTGCACAGACCTTGACTACAGAAAATAGCTGTTATGTTTCACTGATTGCATTATGTTGTTATGGCAACTGAAGTTTTTAAAATGATGAAAAGAAATGGATAGCACATAAAAAGCTAAGTAATTAGGCTTAATGGTGGAAACAGCCCCAACAGGAACAGAAATGACATGGAGAAAAAGGAATCTTAACTTCTTGAGTGTGCACTTAAAACAGAGAGAGATCTCTTTCCCATATAGTGTCCTCCTCCTTCTCCCACTCCGCCTAGTCCAGTCCAGGGAAGAGCTGTTAAATCCAGTCTGAGTCTGTGATGGAGCTGTTTGTTCCCTAGTCTCAGTATTGCTTCTTACCGAAGGAAAGGTGGGTGGAGCAGACACTGAGAGCAGTTTTCTTCCACAAGGACATTGTTTGCCATATTTATTTTTTACAGTGCTAAAGGAGCACTGGTAGATTCCCTTCCACTTGTCCATTCCAAAATCTCCCTGTCAGCACTCACATACTGCAACTCACCACCTCGCTCCCAAGACTTGGAATTGAAAAACTATTATCTTTTCCTTTAAAGAATGTCTTGGGGTGATGCAGTCACAAACAAGTTACCATCACACAGACTTTCCCTGGGCTATCATCACAGCATGATTGTATGTCCCAGGGAGGACACAAAATCATGCCATTCCACTCACAGTGAAAAACAAGTCTCAAGAGGCCCCTGCTATGGTCACTTGAAACGGGGCAGATGATAGAGAAGGAGAAGGAGCTATTGCTCAACAATCTGGAATTGGAAAGTGATCATTCCAGGAGCAGGTATGTATCAACAGGAAAGATGTACAACACCAAACTCTCATATTCTGGCTTTTCACAAGGAGCCAGAGAGCTCTGGATTAGAAATGAAAAGAGCAATAGCATATCTTAGATGGACAACGACTGTATGTGAAGAAAGATGTAGCAGTTTGGATATGCTGCTACGAAAGAAGAATATTAAGCCAATAAAAATGACTAATATTGCATCAATATTCCCCTCTCCATCAGTAGAAATGCCTGTAATCGCACATTTATGAGTATCCACGAGGCTTGCCCTTTGCAGCTACCCTTGGCTGCCAGTTGGGAAGAGAGATATATTCTTTATCTCTGACAGTTATTACATTTTATAAAGAAAAATCAAGTCACTAAAGAGTTTTCTGACAACTGATAAGGTCTAACTGTTCTTTTACAGTCCCTTCCTTACATAAGTGGCTGAGCTGCTGAACTGGAAATACCTGCTCTCAGCTGACACTTGACATGGGAAGGTTGAGCTGTAGAACCGGAAAGGTAATTTTCTGTATAATCTGTGCTATTTATTGTTTTAGAATGGACATATTTTTCACCGATTTGATTGAGGGCTTGTCAAAGCAGAGACCATGAGAATTTTTCTCCTTCAAAGTATTAAAGCTCCTTGGTTACAATAAGAAATCAAGTATAACTGTTTGCTTAAACAAATAAGTGACCCCAAATCCAAACCCTTACAGAGAAAGGGACTGTAGCAGGGTATTAAACTAATTTCATGGATTGGAACCTGAAAAGGACCAGAACTATGGTCCTGCCAGGCCTTACGCAAGTGCTCAGCAGAACTAATACGTCTCATCTCCCAAAGTCAGCTGGGCTATTACAGTAACAGGGCTAAAGCCCATGGGTAAATATTTGCAGGATTAGGGCCCAAATGATCAGCCTCTTGATTCATCAGGCTGCATCATTTCAAGGACACGAGGAGTCCCGTTGAAAGCAGCTGGATTTCTGTCTTTAGGAAAGGTAACAACTGTAGTTAATGTTACAGCAGGCAGAGAAGTCACTTAGGACTAACCACACGCACCCAGAGCTCAGCACCTGCTGTGCCATAGCCTGCCCCAGAGATTAAGGGTGGGAATTTCAAGAACATCGAAGGCCCAGCTCATGCTGAAAACCAGTTGATTCACAGGCATTAAAGATACGCATTAATCCAAAATGGAGGCTTTTGAAAATTCAACCCTGTAGAGCTGGCATTCCCCCTACTCAAAGCCTTCTTGCTAATCTGCAGCTGTTCTCCTTCCAGCTCCCTCTAAGGACTCAGCTGCTCTCCCCACCTCACAGTAACCCAGGAGTTATCTGTGTGAGGTCCAGACTGATGTATCGCCTTCCCTGCTCACAAACTATGAGGACTGAGAGCTTTTACCTGTTGACACAGCACTTGCCTACTCAGCAAGCTTACTGTGTTCCTATAACTCAGCCACAGCTTTTGGGGATGTTTGTGCTTACACAGAAAAATACTATTAAAAGTCTTGCCCCTTTCCTATTAAGCTCAGTCCAGGCCTGGTAATTGCTTTCCCTCCTGCAAGCACAGTTGTGGCAGCACGCGTGATTTAGTAGTTCTGGGAGTCGGTATGTGTTCCTGGTCAGCTTGTGTGCCTGCCTGCATATGTGGGTAGGTGTATTTTAATTCTCCAGAAGAGGGAGGGAGGGAGGAAGGTTACTGAAGTGGCAGTGAATCCATCTACACAGAATGAAAAGCACTAATCCAGAAAGGCATTTTAACCCTTACTGCATGGGGCTGTGTCCTCCCTTTTGAAACAGCAGCTGATAAAATATGCATTGCTTTGCACATTTATTTATTAGTTTGTGAGTAACATCCCATTCCCACCTTGTCCTGAAGAGCTTGTTCTCAAACTTGGACACAAAATAAAAATTCATGTCTGTCCATTGTGCAGACACAGAGCATGACCATGCCTCTGAACAAGTAGAAGGTCTTGGAGATGGTTCTCTAACGTAACACCACCCTCCTGAGTGCACAGCAGAGATGGACATGGGTCCCTATTGCCTCCAGCAAGGAAAAGTCTGATAGAGGAAACAAAAGACAGGCACCAGGCAAGGAACTAAGGTGGGCATCTAATAATGGAAAGGTGCTGAAGGCAGAAGTTGAGAACAAAAAATGAGAGGAAATAAAGGAAAGGAAGATGCTAAATTAGGTGTTAATGCTGAAACCACATCAGTAGCCAAGGACAAGGACAGGGACAACAACAACTCTTGTTACAATGCAACTTGAGATGATTTCTACTTGCTGAAGGCCCAGCCCAAAAGCTCAGTATGTGACAGCATTGCACGAACGGGACCTTTTTTTTCCCCTGAATACCTTGAGTTACATCAGAATCACAGAAAAAGCGAATGGTGTCTCATGGGGGCAATTCTTCAGCGTGTGGTTCACCCCAAAAGCTACAAACCTTTCACTGTGGCTGACACTGTAGCAACATAATCTTACAGCTCTCAAGGTCACAAACTTGGCCTTCCAGTTTGGAGGATGATGGAAGCCATTGCACAGGAGTGCCTTTGAACTGGTGTGTGTATACAACCAGGGCACGTAAGCTTTACCTCACATTACAAAAACTCTGTTCCAGAGTCTCTGAAAACTCAGTAACATGCAACCTTTTCAGTTTGCTCCTTCAAAATAATCCACCTATCCAGCCAACAAAAACCCACACTACAACTGCAATCGCTGTCTTCATGCTGAAATCTTATGCCATGCATAGCTCAGTGTCGAGAACATGCCACCCTCCCAGCTCAACCTCCATCCTGACCTGTTAATCTGCTCTCACCTTCTTTGTGAATCTGTAGTGGTAAGAAATATTTATCAAGTACTACACAGAGGCCATTTTATTAGGCTACACAGGATGTGCCGTAGCTATTTAAGTCATATATTCTGAATTGCTTAGCAGGTTGTAAAGGTCCTGCTGCTGAAGGTTTGCTGACAGAGCTACTGCCTATCTCTGTTATTTTAAGTATTAGTTGCATGTCATCAGTGTGTCTTCTGGAGATGGAAGGCACCGATCTTTTAACAAATGACTGTGGTTAGGCAACATATTGCTATGCAGAGTCAGTGCATTACTATGCACAGCGTAACACAGCCACAATAGGCTATGTGTCAAAAGAGAATTACAAACAGTGTTTTGCCCCTACCACATGCACATCAGCAAGTTGGCAAAAACACCTGGTTTGTGCCTGCCAGCAAATTCTGCGTGTAAGGGGAATTAAAGTCTTCTGAAGCGGGGCCCACCACCATTGCACTACAACGTGAACAATGCGAGTAACAACTTGCATCAGCTTACGCTCTGTTATAAAGACACACTCTGTCTCTCACAGAGACCACATCGTATAGTTTAAAATCTTAAGAGAGAGGGAAAAAAACAAAACCCTTCAAAGGTTTTGTTGCAGTGAAGATCATCAATGAGCCAGTTACTCAGTATGCCGATGCAACAGTTGGCAGTCACCCTGCCTTGCCCAGCAAGACTGATTACTGTGAGGATCCCATGGAAAACCAAGCTGGAGAGATGTCACTTAGGACACCAGCATAGGCAGTGGGGAACTGAGGGGCTCTCTTGTCTCTCTGGGGTGGAAGCACCCTCAAAACCTATTACCTGAAGGCCATAGTTGTATTGTTTCAAGACAAATCATGTTTTTCTTGGCTGCTGCACTCATTGCTTGGAGTGGAAGTATTCTTGGCACATCACAACAGCCACCTCAGCTGCCCTTCCTTCCACCCCTTCCTCCTGCCATGCTCTGTGATGAGTCTCTTGGCAGAATGTAGAAATACCCCTCACTGAACCATCAGTGCAGCGCAGTCCATGCCTCCCCAGGATCTTGTGTGCTCTCCCTTCCAGCCACAATTCCAAGATGGCTTTGTGTCTCTCAGCTCCACGTTTAAGCTGTTGCTTTTTTTCCCCACTTCTAAGCTTCAGAAATATTTAATCAAGGGAGCATTTATATTTAAACCAGAGCAACAGGTGAAGTTGCACACTGGGGAGTACTTAACCCCTACTACTTGCTACTCATCAAGTATATCCTCCAATGACTGCGACTGCAGTGGCACTATAGGTCAGTTGGCCTGTCTGCTTGACTTTCTTGCAGGAGAAAGTAGAGAAACTAAAGAGGAATGAACTTTAAAAAATAAATATCAGTCTACTTTCTGTTTCACTTTCTTCAGTGCTTTACAGATTAGACCTGAATTCTCCTATGTAGAATAAATAACAGTTGGGGTATTATCTTACAGCACAGCAGTGAATGCCTCTTCGGCCTATGAAATCTCTTTGTAAAGGATGCAGAGCTGAGAGCGTATAAGTTCACTGATGATAAACAAACAGGGTGACAAAACTGTTTCCTGTTCATATAATACATTTTATATGCAAATTTTCCCCCTGCTGTTTGAAGGGACAGAATGTCACATACAAAACTTTGCGGGCATCAGAAACCAGGTAAAACCAATTCCACTCAGTAATGTTTTTCCCCTTTTATTTTGACCATTTCAATTTATTCTTCTTATAATTTGTTTCTATTTTGAAAGAATAAAACCCTCCATTAAACCAGAAACAAGAACTCTTCTCCTCTGAAACTTTCTCCCCTTAAATAAAGGTCAAAACTTTTTGCAGTTTTGAAGCTTCGCCAGATTTCACTGTATTACTAGACAAAACTCAACGTAGCTTGCAAAAAAGCCTTGGTCTTGATGGAGCTGACTTTTCTAATCAGGAATTCTCCCCCTGAAAATCTCTGACCATCTCTCTGAGGACAATTCCTGCTGAACTGTACCTGAGGTTCCTCCTTGGTGACTCTGCCCCAGGCACGGGGCTGGGGCCCAGTAGATGGCCCCCTTTGACAAGGCTCCACTAAGCAGGTCCTCCAGGGCTCATCTCACACCACCTCCCCAGCAACTTTACGCAACAGGAGCCCAACATTTTCAGATGACTATTGATTTTATAAAGATTATACCAAGCTATGCTCATCAACGGTGCAAAAGGAGCAGTGTGCTGCCCTGCCTTCCTGATCAGCTGGTATTTCATAAACATGTAACGTAATGTTTCCTACTTTTCAGTAGGAAAAGTAAAATTCTACCCATCTCACAATAATTTTTTCAGATTTTTCTCTCACCAGTAAAAAACATGCATCCCCTGTATGAGAAAAGCTCTCTGCTGCTCTGGTATTACAGAAAGGCTTTTCTGATGGCATAAATCCAAGCTGTAGGGCTCCTTTCCTGCATCAGCAGTATAATGTTTATCAACTTTACCAGTACTGCTTAAACTGAGACTGACCAACTCTTACATCCTCAAAGGATCTACTACTTCTCACAACCACAAGCAGCTCTAATCTCTCTTCACTGAGAAATCAATAAAATAAGCATTTTTAGTCTCATGGGTCAAAGAGAAATTTCTAACCCTGTAAGAAATAAGAGAAGGAAGCGCTGTAGCAAATTCAGGAGCTGATCCAACGACAGTGAAGTTAATGCAAAGTTACCATTGCTATCAGTAAGGTGGGATCAGGCAATTACCTTTGATCTGTCAAGTGCCATATGATTTCTATATTCTAACCTAGAAAAAGCTAATATTGCTAGGATGTGACCAATAGCATGTTTCAAGTGATTCCTTATTTTTCACCCCCACACCACAGCTATTGCCCAATATGGTAATATTTGCATGTATGGGTGAGACAATGCATTCTTTGCATGGTTTCATTTTCGACTCAGATCCTGAACCTTTGGGCACTGATTACATTAACGCACATACTTCACTGTCACTCCCGTTTTTCTTGGAGCCCAAAAAACCAGGCAAGTGAGAAAACTTGGAGTATTTTCTTACATGTGACAAACTTCCAATGAGAAAGACTCCAACTTCAGCAGGGACAAAGTTCCTTGGTATTAAATGCTGATACAGCTTCCTTGACTGGAAGCTACACTCTCACTCCAGCTGAGACCATGGTATTAGATATACCCAGGTTAAAAGGCACTGAGCAAACTGATTTCACTCTCCTGGAGACATTAACCAAAAATTCTCATTCTGGACATGCTGTTTTCCACCTGTGCTTCTGCCTCTATTTGCTCTGGTTACATCTGCACAGGCAATTTAACTCACTCTGGAATTCCAAAAGGTGCCCGAGAACAGCTCGTGTCCACACGAAATGTCTCTACATGGCTCACAAATTAAATCTAGCTCTTAAGCTTTGGCCTTCCAGGAATGCTGGCATCCTGGCACTCTGTATAGATAAGCCATATGGATACAAAAAGTAGCCAGGGATCTGATCCCAGGCAGGAACGTGTCTGGAATATGCTTTAGTCACATCAAAGCCAGTTTGTTTTTGTAAGTCTGGCTCTTGGGACAACTTTTCAAGCCCCTCGGCAGACCCAAATATTTTAATACCTCAAACTCCCAACTCAATTTCCAGACATGTTCCTGAACTTTGTTCTTGCCTGTCTTCCTGGAGAGGTGTTGAGTAAAGAAACTGGTCAGATGGCAGCAAAGTTGAAGCAGAGGAGACAACCATTGGTTGAACTGGACGCAGTATTCTAGCTCTTCCCTCCACCCCTCTCTGGACCCAAGAAAGACATTCAGATGGTAAGTTTAAGCATTTGCACATAATTTCCTGAAGCCTGGGATCAGCATCATGGGTAAACATGCTTGAAAAGAGCTCCCATGACCCTTGAGATACCTGCCCTCTTCATGCTGCCCCACCTCACAACCTCAGTTTTTAGCATCTCTTTTGCCTCATTATTTATAATGTACCTGACTTTCACACTGATCTTCATTCAACTCTCTCTGGAACCCCACTTTCTTACCCCTACCAATGTAAGGAATACTGTAGCAATTTTTAATTTTATTTCTTTCTATTTTTAAAGTTAAATATGTTACACTGTCCTGTGATCAACTGCCCATGATAACCACTGCATTCATGGCAAGCCTGACTTTGAGAGGCACTGAGCTCTTGCTGCCCAGTGGAGTTCATTGGTAGGGAAAAGGGGAATGGGAAGTGGCAGTGGCTGTCAGAAGGCAGCTTGAAATTCCAGTCTGGATGCCTGAATAATATAGCTCTTCTTTACAGATTTTTAGTTCCTGGAGGCCAAATGCATCTCATCTGTTCTGTGCACATTTGCAGGCTTCTCTTATCACCACAATGCAGAGATGCAGAGACACAGATAGGTATTTCCAGTGATGAAAAGAAAATCTGGCATGGAGCGTATTTTAAATAAATAGAAAAATAATTATCTCTTACCAATATTGGAAGGATAAGGTTAAAAATTTCCTAGCTCAGTTACCAATATAAAGATGGTAAAATTATTCAGCTGTTTGCAAGGCTACTTCTCTACAACTTACAAAGCAGAGCAATGTCTTGTGACTGGCATCAGATGGGAAACCTAGAGCACTTGCATGTGATGAAAGGTGCTGAAAGGACAGTCCTAGAAAATTAAGTCCTCTCTGATCCACAAGAGATGATCAGCAGTGGCAGCAGTCCTGGGTCACACTGTTCACTCAGGTGAGTTAATTCCCTAAGGAGCAAACTCAGTCACCACGGTGTTTCTAGCCTTATCTATGCCTCTCTGCAGTCAGACAAAAAAAGCAATCAACTTCTGCCACTTTTACAATAGTTCAAGGATGTTTTGACAACACAGTCAGAACTAAGCAGATCTCTTGCAATATATTATTGTTGAGTGTTTATGACAGAACCATTGTTTCTGAGAACCTGTTTAAGAAAAATATCACATATCTAAGGTGTCATTTAATGCTCTTTGCAGATGCTGGGATCAGTTAGAAAGAGAAAAGGCAAATTTAAGGCATCTTCTTTCCAAGCTCTTTTTTTTGTCCATGTTTTAAACAGCTGTCTCAGAGAGGCTCATCACCATAGGGTCTCTGAAGCCTCCTTTCAACTGAAGTGAGACGAGAAGTATTCTTTCCTCTTACAGATGAGACACTATGGCATGGGGAGGCCACTGTGCTTTTCCAAGGTCACACAGCAAATGTACAGGCAGAGAAGGGAGTTTCAACTAAACCTATGGAGCCCTCAGCTAGTATTTTTCCTTTCAAACGAAAGACAACCTGGATGCTAACACCCAAACATAGCTCCTGGAACCCTACAGCAGCTGCTGGGATGCTCCAACACTTCCCTGCCTCTGTCTCTTTCTCCTGCGCACAGGGAAGGGCAGAGAGCCACTGCTCACCTGGTGGGTGCATGCTTCTGCTCCTCCTCTTCGTCCGTGTCGCTGCTGATAGTGATGACGCTCACTGCGGGGCTGGGGGTGTCGGGAATGACGATGGTCTGCCGCTGCCGCTCCCGCGTGGTGCTGGTGGCCACGTCGCCCCAGCCGCAGGTGACGGAGGTGCTGCAGGCAGGGCTGTTGTGCACCATGGCACAGCGGGGAGGCGTGTTCTCCTTCACTCGTTTCGACCGCTGGGGCGAGCTGATGGACTGAGAGGATGAAACTTCATAGGTGGATGCGTTTCTGGAAACGGGAAAAGGTGTGAGTTGGTTAAAATTCGGTTTGCTCAAGTTGCCCGTCACGAAGGGCTTGTGAGTCCTGGTCTCTGATTCAGTGGCACTGGGCTGTGGAGTCTAGGAAAACTGCAGAATTGACACAGGCACCTCTTCAAAGGAGAGAGTGCCTTGCATGACTTATTCATATCACTGGCTGAAAAGTAGTTTCTTGTAGCAAAAAATTCAAAATTTTTTTTCCTAGAAATTTCCAGATGAGAAATGCTGCCTCTCAGGAGTTTGCACTGGGAGAGTAGAGGCTAGTCACACAGCCCAGACATATAGAACAAAGGTAGGCACTCTGTGGCTGTCACAGGAGAGAGAACCACCCAAATGATAATCCCTTTTGCCTGTATCCCACACAGATGCATCATGGCGAGATATTTTTTGGCCAGAAAATGCTAGAGATCAAATTTGAATTTGCTGTGGAAAACAGCAACCATTTACCAGGAAACCTGTTTTTTTAATTTAATTAAACAGAAATTAATTTCTGTTTAAGAATCTTATCAATTAGCATTTCCTAGCTGATACTTTGACCTCTAGGACAGTGGTGTCCCATAGATGAGAGCAGGCAGAAGGGAGGACAAATATTCAGTTTCATTTTGTTTCCATGTGAAGCAGCATCCAGCATAGGTAAATCAGAAAGAAAAAAATATTCTTATTACACAGTAAAAAAAGCCTTCTCAAGTCCTGGTTTTTCCCCAGTTTTCCTACTTCAGCTTCCCTACCCAAGCGGAAAAGGCTCACTTGAATCAGGGATCTGAACACAGAACCTATCCACCCAGCAGTGCAGCATGGGTCTGCAGACTGGGGTTATTAACCAAAGAACACTGACTAAAGCCCCTTTCCCTCAGTTCCCACATTTTCTTTCTCCCTTGTATTTCTTTTCACTACTGCAGAACATCTGGAGATTCAAAAAGGAAAAAAACCCCAAAGTTCTGGTTTTGTTCCACTGTGGGGCCTGGGCTGCATGTTCAGCCTGGCCCGAAAGCTAACAAAAGGAATAGGTGGCATCCATCAAAAGGAAGTCACCCTGGCAGTATATCACACTATACCAACTTACACAGGGTCTTTTGCATAACAAATGGCTGCACAGTAGCATTCCAAGTGCTTTTTGAATACCAATGAGCAGCGTGGAGTACCCTCCTCTCCAAAGGAGCACTGTTCCTCATTTGGCTACAAAAGAGTTACAATTAATGAAGCTATAGAAACCCTTTGCTCTGAGGGTGCCCAATTCCTCCTGGACACTGCCATCCTGCCTCTGAAGAGTGAAGAGAGAAGGGAGGCCCTGCAGAGGCACACTGGTTGCAGCAGGCGCTCTGTTTTGCTGGTTTGCTGGGGATGTGGCTGCCTCTCCTCTGTATTACTGGTGGACTAAGACAGCTGGAGCTGACCCAAAGTACATTCAACATTAAAGAGCAGATAAATGGGATGGATTTAAATAGTGGTCTCTTAACCAGAGTCAAACTGGTTGTGAACTCAGAGCTCCTCTGGCCCCAGTGCAGTCACCCAGGAAAACCATAAGCTCCTCTGTTTTTCCTCTGCAAAAGTGGTGACCCATTTTGGTTCTCTCCCCTGCACTGTTTTGAGTTGTGTTTCTTTTTCTTTTTAGAGAAGTGTCATAGTTGCACAGCCCAGAGAATCTTCCCCAGAACAGGTACACATACATCTTAAACATCCTTGTCCTCTAGACAAGATTACAGTGCTGTGACAGGCACTGCAATCCTCCTTGCAGAGCCAAATGGTCCTACTGAGAGCCAATAGATTCTAAGGACTGCCTCTGGATGAGATATCCTTACAAAATGCTCCCTGTTTTATGCTGCCATGATTATATCAAGACCAGCATGGAAATCTGTTGCTGGTGTGTATTGTTGAAGATAGGATCTAACCACCTGTGTTAGGAGCTAGAGAGCTTGAGGTGGCCTAAAGCCACCCAAGACCTTCACTCCACATGGCATCAAAGCTCAGAAGACAGGTCATCACCTCATCGCTTTTGAAAGGGCAGATCTTGTGTGCACACACCAGGCACATGTTCCTGAAGATGTGGTCCCCTGAGGTGCATCACCCCACGGGAGTGCAAACACTGCACCTCAGGAGCGCTTCTTCCAGGTGATGAGGGAAGAAAAGGTGTGGTAACTGGGCACTGCAGCACACTGACCTGAGAATTCAGTTACATTTTTAATAACAAGGCCTCGCGTGATCACAGCAGCATAACAAGTGTATGAATAGGGCCCGAGTCTCCCACCCTGCATCTCCTGCAGCCACTGACTCCCACACAAAACGATGCTCACTGGGTCTAAAATGTACCAGATCGCCTCTTACCCACCGCTCTCCTGACCTGGGTGCCAAAGAGCTGAAGCAGCAAAGAGTCCAGTCACAAAATGCGTAACCTAATCCCTTGCAGGCTGTGGAACAAACTTTATTTTGCCCCGCAGATGACAGTGAACAGCACAGCTGCATCACAGGGCTGCACTCAGAAGCACCCTGGTAGGGACCCCCATCCCACCCCCACGCCCAGCGCCGGGATGGGCACACACTCACCGGGGCGCAGACTGGTGCTGTTTGCTCTTCCTGGCGGAGGTGGTGGCGGGCGGCTGGCGCATGACATGGGCGACACCCACGTTGACAGGCTGGGCAGCGGGCAGGGTCACATGGCTGGCCAGCAGCGTGGGCTGCTGCATGATGGGGTTGTAGTGGCTGCCGTGAGCGTGCGTGTTCCTGTGTGGTGGGGAGACAGGCACACGTTTAACATGCCAGCGGTTGCTCCTCGGCAGGTTCCCATCGCCCTTTACCAAGGTACCCTCCCTTCCAGGGCCCACTGGGCTCTTAGTCCACCTGGGATGGAGCGTTTTCCCCAGGGAGCAGACTGAAGAGAGCGCTGTGGGCACAGCACTCCACTCCAAGGACATGGTATGGAGAAGCTGCCCACACCTTTCAGACAAGGGGGCAACAGGCTGCACCCCTTCTCCCTCACAGCATTTTTGAGACCCCATCCCTCCTGCCCCACTCTCTTCTCAGGCCTCTTCCAGCTCTGGTGGGTACTTCAGGGAACCTACAAGCAGCTCCAGTTTACCTCCAGTCTGCCAGCGGTTGGGTGCCGGCCATGGACTCTGGGATGACAGTCGCATGCTGGACAGACGTGTGGGTGGCCACCCCGGTCAGCTGCTGCCAGGCAGGAGGGAGCAGGATCTGCTGAGTGCCACTGGGCCATGCTTGCTGTCAGACAGAGGGAAAACAAAAGGCATCATGCACCAAACGTGAGTGGTGGTCCATGCTCACCCGGGGCTCCCAATAATTATCATGGTCATACAACATAGCTCTTACCCCCTTTCAAATACTGTTAGGAAAGCACAGTAAAAGCAGTAAAAGTCATCAATATAGAGAATGGAAAGGAAGGGGGAAAAATCTCTGTCATACAAAGCAGCAGCTGTGTTTTAGGCTAAACCAGGAATAGGAGGAATCAAAACTAGTTGGCATTTCAACCCAAACATCAAACGCTTTAGCATCTTTTAATTTTGACTCTCCAGATCAGCTGGGCCCTATGATTTTATTGTTAACTTCCCCCTCCTACAGCCAGTTTTCTTTCTCACCCCAACAGGACCCAAACGACTTCAGGAACTTAAAAGCAATTAAAAAGTAAAAATGAGCTTTTCAAGGACCAGGAAAAAGAACTGGGCTTTAGTGAGGAGGGGAAAAAGGTGAATTTGGAGATACCAAAATGGAACACCTATAAGCCACTGGGTGCTCCTCAGAAGGAACATCTTGCTATACGACCAAGAAGACCAGTCGCCTGCTTGCAGCTCACCAGGAGCCTCCCTGGGCAAAGCAGAGTGAAGCCATGCACAGCTATGTATTGCATGCCTGTCCTCTCCATATACTTTCCTGCTCTTTCTGAGTGGGTGCCCCCTTTACAGGGCATAAATCTCTGCCCTGTGAGTTGAGCCATCGTTCTGGTATGCAATATCCCTCCAGCTGCACCGCCGCTGCCACAGGCATGACTCAGGTTGTCCTGCTCCAGTGACTCCACACAGTCAGATGATTGGTTTTTTGACTTGAGAAACTTTATTTGCTACGTGCTGCCCAAAGGCAGCTCCAGCAGCTTATCACTGCCTGGGCTGAGGAATGCAGGGGTACCAGCTATGGTCCACCTTAGTCCCAACTAGCACTACTGTACTGGACCTGTGTTGTGTTATTTCACAGCTCCAAGGAGGTTAAATTTGAGGGAAGCCTTGTTCCAAGCATACATTTGTTCCCTTCTCCATCCTCACAAGAATCCAGTTAACTGTCCCCATGATCCCCTCCTATCGCCCAGTGGAAAAAAACCAAAAATCTACTCCCCATTCCTTTTCCCATTCTGCTCTAAAGTTCGACTGTCTTGTAACTTTCCATGTTGCTGAGTTAGATGAAAAGGCTGCTATAGTGAGGCGTCTCACAACATCTGCAAAGGATGGACAGTCACAAGGCTCCTAAGAGCCCTTCATCTAAGGAGCCACAATCACAGGCTGCTGCCGCTTGGAGCAGGTAAGAGAAAGAGGCAAAGACACAAAAAGATCAGGGTGGAAAAAAGCCTTTTTATTCTTTTCTCTTTTTTCCCCAGCTTTGCTTTAGAAGAGAAGACTAAACTACTCTTGCAGTCAGTCCCAGGGGAGTACCTGGATTTACTTGCAGAGAAAACTGCTTCCTCCCTTTTCAGGGAGAGAACGAAACAAAACTAAGCTCCTTGCCTGACTGCAGTGCATAAATTTAGATGCAGTGTCAGGGTCTAGGCACAAATTCCTCACTTATTAGGTAAGGACCACTGAATCATTTAATCTGCAGATAAGACTTGTCTAGGCTGATCCACCAGCACAGTGCGCTGTGCTTACACACGGGAGGCTTGTGCCGGCAGCTGCAGCCTGTTCCCAGTTCTTGCATCACTATGAAATCTTGCAGCCATGGTGGAGCACCGTGCTGGCCCCTGCACTCGGGAGCTGGGGGATCCCCTGGTGCCACGGAGCTCGTGCTCCAGATATAGAGCAGGAGCGACTAATGGAATTACTGTGTTTGTGCCGAAAGCTGGTGGCAGGACCTCCATGGGAAGTGTTGTTGGGAAGGAGTTAAGAGGAGAGAAAAATCAAGAATTCAGGGCATTATTCAAGGACAGGGGACAGTTCTAGGTCACGTCATGGAAGCCCGCCAGAAAACTGTACAGTTTTGTATCTTTTGAGATCGGAAGCCACAGAGAGTTATTAGAAAAGATAAGACCAGTCTCCTTTCACCAGTCCCTGTGCATACAATATGTGGACCACACTTGCTCGAGAGGGTGAAAACAGACCCAGGCAAGTTACAAACAAGTTACTTTAGCCACTGACCCCACATCTCGCAGGCTGCTTGCTCTGCCTTGCGCTGCCTAGCTCCATCCCACAGACTGCAGACACACAGCTGCCAGAGATGATGCTCAAAATCCATCAGTGCATCAGCCCTGGGCCCCTCCAGCCCCTGGAACTCCTTCCTCCTTCCCTCCTCCAGGGGGGCTGGTCTTGTACAAAATGCACAGGGGGAACTGGACGCTGGTTGTGCTGGGATGCAGTAAGGCCTCACCAGCCACAGGTATCCTGATGAGATCAAGCACAGTGACCTGTGCTGTGTGCTGGGAGCACAAGGAGCAGCACTTTGTCCGATCAGTGGGACAAATAAGGCAGGTGGAAAGACAGAAGTGGGCTCTGGAGGCGCTACACTCTCTGACAGAGACAGTCCCTCTAGTAGTTGGAGCAATCCTGTGGTCCAGTCTGAAGAGCATTAGATAAGCAGCTGTGCACGAGGGGAATAGCTCTCTGCTGGGAGAGAGACACGCAGCCGCTCAGAGATCAGATGTGACTACAATGCATCACAAAGAAGCTGTGTTTTTCCATTCAGGAAACTGGAATTGGGTACAGATTTGTTTATCAGACCAGCTGCTCAGCCCAAAACGAGCGAGGCCCACGGACACCAGATGCCACCGGCATCAATCAGAGTGCCCTGCCACCAGAGTGACAGCGAGCATTTCTCATCACGCCAGGCAAACAGATACATCAACAGGCAGACCGCCTCCCTTTTATTAAATCCAAAATTAAAAATCTATGCAAGTGAGGAGAGTTTCTCAGAAACAGCTCGAATTTAGGAAGTGGCAGTGAATACAATGTCAGTAGAACATATGAAAGGGGCGGTCTAAGAAATAGGCATTCATGTGGCAGAGGCAGCACCGAAATTGGTAACCTGTGTGAGGGAGGGTGTTCATAAGGACCTTTACTACCAAAAATTCCTCATTTGTATAAAGTCCAACAAGGCCACCTCGAGAAGAAAGAAGGAGTGGCAAGTCCTGAGACCTTTCAGGCTCCTGCTGCCTTTGGGATGCTTCAGATCACTCCTTCAAGCCCCACAGAAAGCATGCCACAGGAGGCCTGACGGAATGGTGGGGGTATGTAAAGCTCTGTGTCCTCCTTCATCTACTGCCTTGGCTGACTCCTTGCACAAGCAATAGGTGCCGGGCTCTGAGCCTGCACAGACTGCTCTCGCTTTGCCGTGGCTTTTGCTTCCCCTGCCTTGTAGGGTCTCCTTTCCTACCAAACAAGAGAGGTGGTCCATGTCGGTTGTTACAACAGTCTGCAGGGTTGGTATATCAGACAGTCCTCTAACAAAGTCTCTGCTGCTGGGAAGGGGCAGGGCAGGTGGAAATCACACAGACTGCAAGCTGCATTTTGATCCACCAGATAAGCATGACTGGCAGCTGGCAAAGGAAGGCAATAGCACCAACAGTCTTACCACAGCAGTGCAGGGCACAGGCATAAACCCTTAAGTCTGCGGGTACCTGACTGCAGATCAACCAAGCCTGAGTCAGAGGCATGCCCTTTTAATGAACAGGTCACCTTTTCCAGGCTGCCCAACTTAGTATTAAGTATACTAGGCATTTTTTTCCCTGCCTGTTATCAGCAAAGATACTGTAGCAACATCTCTAAAACAGTAGAGGCAGATTCACTGAAGCCAGCACAAGGTGGAATGAACTGCTCCTCTGGTTTATGAAGCTGGGGTTCCCCTTGAGAATGTGCATGTGATCACTAGTACCCATTTCTGACTGTTTTTCTTCTGGAAGGAACCATGGTTTTCCTGTGAGCACAATTCAACGACAGTTGTGCCAATAAGTCCTGCTGACAAGGAGAGCTCCTTGCCTGTGTGTCTTTGCCTCAGCCCCTTCCATCTCACTCATACCTTAAGAGCAGAGGTGCAGCTCATAAAACAGAATGGTGGAATCTTACAGCACGGAAGACATTTATTGGCAACACACAATTCACCACTGTGACTCCTGACTACAAACTACCACTGAGACTGCAAGTTCAGGAGGATGCAGGAAGGTTATTATCAGTTCCTCCTCAGCAGAGGCCTGATACAGATATCCCTGAGGCTTTCCCACTGATTCCAGTGGAAAACCAGAAGGAAAGAAGGTCTTTCTGGAGGCTTTTGCAACTCTGATGTAGTCTTTGAGCTGGGGGAGTTTTGGACATTTCAGAGAAAGCTGTAGACCCTTATATAGCTGCTGAAGTCTCCAAACTGCACCACAGAAGGCCCTTAGATAAAGCTGCTCTCCTCAGCCTCCAAGAGCTAAACAACACAGTAAATACCTGCTGAGCTCAGTGTCTTCAGAATTCCTTACCTGTGCGAGGAGTCCTGGCTGGATCTGAAGAGGTTGGGCCCCAGGAGCCTGAGTGACGATGGGAACCGCGTTCTCCATCCGAACCGAATACCCAGCATGCTTTGAAGGGGAGGCTTGTAACCCTGTTCCACCAGCACAGAAGGTACAGCATTAGCCATCAGCAGCACTGCTAGGAGCTGGGGTCTGGTTTTCAGAGGTGCCTAAAGGCACTTGCTGACGTCCACTTAAATTGCAACATTGAGTCCCTCTGAAAAATTGGGCTATCAGAGTGCCACATGTTCTACCCCAGCCCAGAGATGTCCACCAAATGTTCACAAACATGATACATGTATAAGGGTGCAGAAAAGACATTTTTCAAAGGCATTAAGGGATTAACTGAGTTCATATTTTTAGTGTACCTCAAATGCACAGGAAATATCACAATACAGTGTGTACAGGGAGAAAAAGAAAAGAGCAGAGTAAATGGCTTCTCGTCACCATATTCTCCAGTTTGACAACAGAAAATGGTATTTCCAGCCCAAACCTATTGCTATGTAAGAATGTTCTCTTTAGACCAAAGTGGGACAGTGGGATAGGAATCCAGAACTCTGTATTCCTTCAACCTTGACATGAATAGGTGATTTTCTCTTAAACACTTTCTTGGGACTCATATTTAAAAGGTTCTAGCACACCCCAAACTCCAGTCACTGATTAAGCCACACATAAGCCTAACTGAGCTGGAGGAAGCTTTCCTCCCCACCACCTTAGCACAGCCTGTGCTGCCTCCTCTACTTTAGAGCTTTCTCAGGACAGCAAGCTGAAGCTGTTAGCTTACGTACTCTAGCAATACATTTCTGAAGTCAAACCCTTGAGATGCATTTTAACTACGTAGAAGAGGTCTAGCTAAACTTCTCTAGTTCAAAAGAGCTTTGATAATCTTCCAGAACATTTAACAAGTGCCTAGAGGCTGCTGCACGGACCGGCTTGTAGAAATGAAGAGTAGAAGTTGCACCAGCTGAACCGAGGTCTATTTAGACTACTTCCTACAGATTCCCGACTAGTTTTCCAAATTGTTACAGCATGTAAAGTTAAGAGAAGGACAAGTAGCTAATTCTGATCATCACCCAAGTTGTCTAACAATGGTACTTACTACTGTATACACAGACAGAGCTGTTTGCAGTGGGGCTGGAACTGAGGGAATTTTACTCATAAATGGTCCTGGGCATGTTATGGGGGCAAACCCTCATGTCTACCCTCACCATGCTCCCTGCTGCATTACCATCCTGAGTTCATTCCCCTTTTAGCAACAGAATCACTGAGAAGTGATGGGCCCATTATGCACATGCTGATTCATTGTTACCATGGGGGAAAGCTTTCAAGTTTACCAAAGTATGGCAGAAGAGCCTCAAAATCTGTTCAGGGCAAAAGATGACAAATGTCCCGTAATCTCCCTCAGCCCCCTTCTCAGCATCTGCCCCGTTGTTTTAGACCAGCTACCTCCAACTCTTGCCGTCAGAGGTGCCTGCCAGATCCTCCTCCACTGTAAACATTTCCACCTGCAATAACCTCACTCCTGCAATTTACTAGGCGAGCCTCCTTCCTGCCATACAACCTGCACTAAGGGAGCTCATTTCCAACACGAGCTCGATGACACAGCAGTGGGGAGGGAGCAGCAACTGGCCAAGGCCCTGGTGAGGCTGTTCCTTACCTTGGAAGCCTGGTGGGCAGACGATGAGGGCTTGCTGTAAGGGGTCGGGGCGGGCACAGATCTGCGCTGTTCCTGTCTGCAGGGGCATGCTCCGCTGGGCCACCGCAGCCATGGACGCCGCTGAGGGCTGGTAGAGTGCAGATTGGTAATTTAGTATGGAGACCTCGGGGTTGGCTAAGGAAATAGTGGCACTGGAGGAGGTGGGAGCCAGGTTGGTGGTCTAAAGGAATGACGGGAATTAAACAAAAAACAAACAAAAAAAAATGAGGGAGATGGGTACGTTGGAAGAAGCAAAATCCAAAAACAAAATAAAAAAGTAAACCAGTGTAAGATAAAGTGAAAAAAACCACCACAAACAAACCAAAACAAACAAAACGGCAAACCAAAACCAAACAAGGGATAGAACAGGACATTGAGGAGCACAGAGACAAGGGCAGTGCTGGGGAAAGGAGCACAATCCGTCCGAGTAACCACAGCTGTACCACACCACAGGACCTCCGGCCATGCAGTGCTGCTGTGAACTGCTGAGAGACACAGCACGTTCTCTAAAGCAGAACTGTATCCCCATTTCTCACCCAACTGCCTCTGATTTGCAGCATGATGAAGATGGGGTCAGAAAATGTTACTATCCACAAATCATGTTTTTCACTCGTGATGTACATAGGTCTAGAAGCTGCTCATATTTCTGAGGTAAAATAAACTCAGCACCTCCATGCCTTGTGAAGTCTCATCCCGAGAGGGGAGACTTATTCCAGCCCTTCCTCTTTGAAACCTTGTACCTAAGATGGCACATGCCCCTTGAATTATGTTTCGAATTTGAAGTAATCAGAAAGCATAACAGGCAGTAATACTAAGTAGTTGCAAAGTCCAAACTTGGCTTGTCTTTAAATCTCTTAGAGCAGAAACTCCAGCAGGGGATGTTGCAAAGCCACAAAACTCATTCCAGTGTTCTGCAAAACATCTCAAAATCCGAAGACTTTTTTTTATTTGGACCGAGTCTAACAGTTGCAGACAACTAAACAGTTCTGCCACTGGTTTAAGAAAATGTCCTTAGCACTCATGCCTAGGCAGCCAGACTCTGCCCCACCAGAGCCCATCCTTCCCCTCCACCCAAACACACCAGCAACATCGCTGGACACAGGTCAGAAACCACTTTCTCAGAGTAAATGACAGGTCAGACAATGCTTTCTCATGGTGAATATATGAACCCAGGAGGAGGCTTTGATCAAGGCTGGAGAAGACAGCAGGCTAAGCATTTTGCACTGCACTGGTTGCCACTGGACTCACGCTGCACTACCATGGCCACAGACACGAAGGATGTAACGACAAAACATTTATTCCTCCTCCTCCTCCCCTCTTCATGCAGAGGCAGTGAAGTGCAATATGCTCTCCTGTGCAACACACTGAGCAGCAACCACAACAGCTCCCACACTCCTAATCTCAGAAGCTGTAACTGGAAGGAGGCAATCCCCAGACATTTTGCAGAGACAGGAAACAGAAGAAAGCTAAGATGAATGGCATGTTGAAGAGAATTGTGAAAGGTTTAGAGCTTGTTCAAACTAAAAACCCTTCCTGGAAATATTTCTACCACTTTTTCTAGGAACACTGGAGATACTGGTTCTGCTCACAACACACACCCCTTGTGAGAATTCAGAAATTACCACGGATCTCCCCAGACAACAAATGATCGTAATGTCAAGTGAGCTGAGAGGAAACGAAAGCAAGTCTGCATTTCCTACTAGCAACTGTGGTACAAATGGTGTCTCTGCCCTGCAGCTGGGGCCTAGGGGAGCCTGTAGTGTGCATTTCTTTAGTCAGCATCTCAGAAAGAGACAAGAAAGGGAACTGGTGTTTGTAACTAATACCCTATCACACCAACTCATGACCTATCTCTGAATCTGCTTCAAATGTTTCAAAAGACCTTCTGTGATCACATGTACCAGGACCTGAGTCATGAAGTCTGGTTTTCTGACTGACGCAGGAACACCCTGTACGTCTACACAGACTCCTTTAGCTCCCTGGCTTTCCAAACACCATTTCCGCAATGCCACCTGCAATCTCTAGAGTGAATCCTGAGCAGCCTGTTCCTAAGATGCTTAAAAGACAGTAGCTATTTCTTGAGCTTCAGTCCCCTAAAGTGCTCTCCCTGGAGAGTTTCCCTTCACTGATGTAATACAGTACTGCAGTAAACAACTTCCCCAGCTAGTCACATAAAATTTGTCAACACAGCACCCCCAACACCGGTGCAAGTAAAACTAATACAAAGTGTGATTATGAAGCCAGAGCCCACTGAAGTAGAGTGCAGTGTGTTCACAGTGGGGGTATGTGCACACAGTCCCCACATCAACTGTGGCACCTGGAGTAAAACCAAGGCAAGATAAGAATAAACATTGTCATTAAACTCTTCTTTCATGTTGATCAGTTCTAGTGCTGTATCTGTTACAGAAGGGTTTAAATTCTTTTTACTTCAATGCAAATTTGAAGAAGTGCTGTAAGACCACAAATACTTCTGCCTGACCCAGGGAGTGAAGTCCTGCTTGCTGCATTAAGGGACTAATGAGCTTTTCCCCATAGCAACTTCCCAAGTAAGCAGGATTTATCACCCCAACAACAACATAAACAACACGGGCAACATTTCACCATCACAAAAAATGTCACAAGATTACTGCTTGCCTGAAGAAAAGAGAATGACGAAAGGAGCAGAGGGGAGTAAAAAGGCACCATCTCTTGGCAGGCATGTTAAATGGGATGCTACTTCACTTTTCATCTTCTAGACCCTGCTGACATAAAGGTTTCAAGCACTGTCTGCTTCTGATCAATGCCCTTACCTGGTTGTGGACTGTGTTCAGCTGGTTGTTAAAAGTCATGGTCAAGTTGGTCGATGTACTTGGGGCTACATGGGTGATGAATGGCGTCTTGCTCTGGTTCACTGTGTCATACATATTCACCCGCCGCTTGCAAATCTCCATGTTCTGGAAGCAGGACTTGACACTGTGTAAGGGAAAGGGGGCAAGGATGAGACAGAAAATCAACCAACCAACTAACACAGGTAACAGTTCATCACAGTGGCCCTGCATTAGGTCTCCACAGCAGCAGGCTTAGCACTTTCTAGGCTCTTAAGCCCTTTGCTGTTTTATGCAGGTCTGTCTTAACCAGTTAGAGTCAGTTTATAATAATAATGGCCAGTCTTCGCGAGCGAAGATCCGGGGAAGGTCTTTCCACCTTCCAGCCTGCGCATTGGATTTTTTAGGTGAGACACAGTGTGCGCGGAACTGAGCCCACCCTTTAATCCTAAGGTTCATCTGCCGGGGCCAAGCGAGCTTGGACGGTGGCAGCGAGGTCCTTAGGACGTAGGTGGGTTGCCTTTAAGGGCTAACGAGCCCCACCTGCCCAGGAGTGGCCCTGACCGGGAATCGAACCCGGGTCTCCGCGGTGATAGCGCGGCGCCTTTACCACTAGACCACCAGAGTCAGTTTAACTTTACCACTAGACCACCAGAGTCAGTTTAACTCTGTACTGAAAAGGCAGAGATGAGAGCGGCTGATTTGGGACTCCTGGGTGCTCCCATGGGTCTCAGCACTGCAATACAAATCACAAGAAGCAAGCAAATTGGTTGCTCTTTAGGTGACAAAGCAAGAAATACAAAGTGGCTATTTTTAAAGACTGAAAGAGACTGAGAGCAAGAAAGAAAGACAGGTACTATTTTTTTTCCTGATGGTTGAGCCCGAGAGGAAAAGACAACTCATGCTTTTGCCTCAGTGTAAGCCTAAAGGTAGTTTTACACATCCTTTGCAAGGAAGAATTCTACTATTTTTGATCACTGAGACCACTAAAAAATCTCCCTTGTTCCTTTCAAGAAGTAGTTCACTGAGAGCTGAGTCCAGCCAAGAAGTTAAAACATTGCCCCTGTCTGGTTAAATGCTTGTGCAGATGCTTATCTTGAAGCACATGAGACCTCCTCTTGCAGTCAATGGGACAATTCACATCGAAAAAGGTTACACCAAATCAGATTCATCAATGCTTCGAGGCAATCCGGTTCTGAGGTTATCTCACACTGAGAATTGGATCTCTGGGGGAAAGATTACAGCTTCTTCCTTACACTGACCTGCCCTTAAATGTTATTGATATAGCAGTGGAAATTTTGAGAAGTATCATATTTTGTGCCTTCTGTACAGGAGATGAAATACTCTCTACATTTTTAGAGCTCACCAGGCATCTACTACAAGAAACAGTATTTAATTTTTATAATTAGGATACCAAAGCATACAGAGGTTAAGAAATAACAACACAGCAAACCTGTGCAAAACTGTGTTTTTAATAAAATCTCATTTTTTGAGATCTAAAAACCAATACAGGTTTTCCACAGTTCCTCCATAATAATTGATTTTACAAATGCAACCTCAGAGTCTGAAACTCAACCCCAAAAAGTATAAACGCATTTATTTTATTTCCATTATCCCAACACAGAAAAATAGAAATTCCAAACAGTAAAAATCAGCTGTAGCTGTAAAAAAAATCAGCTATATGCTGATTGTTTCGTAATGATCTAAACTATTAGAGAAGGTAAACACATCCTCACATAATTTGTAAGAAACTAAATGCCCCTTCAAAGGGACAACCTTGTATGATCCCTAGGGTTGGTCAGGAAGAGGACCTCGATCTTTTCATCCCTATCTTTTCTCTTATTCAAATGGTCACCTCTCTTTTCCTATGAGTAATATCTTGGCAATTGGATCTGGGCCATAAACACCTGCAGACAAGACAGGCTCAGGACACTGTGCACAGCTGCACATTATCAGCATTCACTTACAGAACTATACCTGTTAGTTGCAGAACATTCAGCAAAATCAAACACTTATCAAATAAATACAGAAGACTATTGGATTGCATTTTTTCAGTCAAGTATGAACATAATTCCCCATTCAAAAAGTAGAAAGCATTGAAATGAGTATATGTTCTCTACATGGTGAACTGTGTGTGTTACTAAACAGTTTTATGTAACAAGGTGTAAGCTCTACTAATGCAACACCATGTTTTCTGTCCTTACTTTAAAAAAAGGGGGGCATAAAAAAAGGCAGGGAAAAAGCAAAACAGAAGTCCGAGAAGTACTGAGCAATTTAAGAGCCAGGCAGCTAATTATGTGAAATGGGGAGCTAAAGTCACTTTGTTCTGTGACTGCAAGTAAGCAGAACAGCCCATCTCATGCTGCTCAAACTTGCAGCCTCTCTGAAGCGTGCCACAGCAGATTCCTTCCAGAAGCTACAGCTTCCACATATTCTCACTTTCTCTGCTGCCCAATTTACTTTCAAGACAGATTACAACTCCCTGCATCTCTCAAGGCTTTGAAGTTTCTATTCACCAAACCACAGGCAACCACAGACAAAATTTCTGTCAACTTGCCACGCTGGTTACAGCTTACTGCTCTCTTTTCCAATCACTGCTTCCTATGTGGAAGGGCTGCGAGGGGTTACGCACCCGGCTGGCACAGCAATTAGTATTCAGAGACCTGATGCTGAATTCTTTACTTGGGTAAAATCTTCAGTGCTATCGGCCCCAGTGATATTTTCAACCTTTCTGGGGCTTCGCCTGAGCAGCCACAGGTGAGCACTTCAAAAATGAAGATGTGGTTACGGTCTGCTGCGTTAGTGGAAAGATTTCTGACGGCAATGCATTAGGTCACAAATCTCTCCTATCTTACACAATCAGCTGTTGCACAGTAAGAAGGACTGTTGCAAATTAAGAGACTTTTGTCTATGATGCTCACGCTGTTAGAAAATACTGTCATTTTTTATTTATGGATGTTTTTTATGTGAAACTTACTTTCTCCCTGTTTAGCACAACAATCTCCCATCTTGTTTTCATTACATTTATCATTTACTATCTATTTATAGACAACAATGCTCCAAAATGGCTGTGCACGGTAAGTCTGGGTCTACACAGATCGTGCACCCACTACCTTCTGGTAAGCAGCTGCTCTTATCTTGTGATAAATGTAACAAAAAGGTAGCTACAGCTCCTTCAAAGAGCAAAAGCTACCTTAAATGAACTTGAAATACTGCAGCCACACATATAGGCAGGAGAGCTGACACAGTTACCTGTTGCTCTGCAGCACTCACACTAGAGATTTTTAAGGAAACCCCTTTAATTTTGTACCTGAGCTCCTGACAGCCTTTAAACGCTCATGCAAATGGCCCCCAATGAAGTACGACACTGTGCTGGCAACTTTCTCCTGCCAAGTGGAAGGGACAGCCTGCAAAAGCACCTTGAACAGCAAGTGTTCTAGAGCAGGATATTCAAAGCTAGGTGTCCTGAAGGCTTTGGAAAACTCCCACTATGTATCTACCTTTTTCACTTACACCTGAGAAGCCTGGCCCTATGTGAACTGCCCAAGGGACAAGGGCAGTGGGCTTAGTGCAGGTTTCCTGCACTTCAGACTGCTGTGCTCTGTAATGCAGCCTTAGGAGAAGGGGCAGTCAGGCTCGACACTTCTTTACATCTCCAGCAAGCAACGGAGTCCATCTCCGTTCTACACGTGTGTCAGATGAGGTCAGAGAGTGGTATTTAAGGTGACACAGGTAGACAATAACAGCTGAAAATGTAACTCCTTGTCCTGTTGCCTATGCTTGTAAAACAGAGCTGCTGCAGAACAGCTCTTCTCTTAAAAAGCAAAGAGCCCTAAATTGACCCCTGGAAGATGGGAAGGTTCTGGGAGTAAGGGTCGGCTCCCCACTGCAGATAAGGTTGATTATTTCAGTAACAATCAGGACTATATTACTTGAGTTAGACTGATAGTTTCAGCACTAATTGCATAATTTCTTCTGCATTTTAATGGAAAAATACGTAATTATTGAATATTTACATAATTAATGTAGCACACACTGCGGCGTTTTAAATGCCAAGCACCTACAACACAATTCTAACAACCTTGACTTGGCAATCCTCTTTTTTTTTTTTTTCAACCAGAAAAAGATTTAAACTTAAGGCTTAAACATCTTAACATTGCTCTTCAGATACATTTGGTCTCCACCACAGCCAGCTCTTCCCTTCATCCCCCAGTTCAAAACCCAAGAGAAACAAAAGCCACGTACTGTGTGCTGTGAGGGAAATCGAGCAAGTGCGTCATGGTGACAAAAGGGTGGCTCAGAGTTTCAATGGGTGTTATCCTCTTATCTGCATCTATCGTCAACATCTTCTTTAACAGATCTATGAACTCCCGCCGGTCTGCCTTTTCCACCAACATATCACTTCCTTCCAAATCCGTTGTCATGTTTACCTAAAGGAGAAACGACAAGAGTGAGCGCCAAAGGAAAGAGCAGATGGTCAGGTCTCCAGCAAACTGTGTTTACTCCTCGCTGGAGCACATGCCCTGCAAGCCTCCCTGGCTAAAGGGATAGTTGCTGAAGTCACACGGCAGACTCTGGCTGGTCATCTGGCTTGTGCGTGTCAGATCTCCAGACAGACTGTTAAGTGTTCAGCTCGCTTGGGTCAATGGCTAATGAAACACTTAGTCACCCTCCACTGATGATGAACAGCTTCCATGTGGTAGCAGGCAAGCTCTCATAATCAGTGTATTTATCATACAAAGTACTGTGCCATCAGATACTTATCTATGTGTCCCGTGAGCAAAAAATATATAAAATACATAAAAATTGTCAGTAGGTTTATGAGAAACATCCCATTCAGATATCAGGTGCCAGGAAAAAAACCCATGTTATTTCATGCATTTATACATTCTCCCCTGACTCCAGTCCTCCATTTCTTCATGTCTGCTTATCAATGCTACCATGCCTAGACTTTGCTAGTACAAACTCCAGTGCTGCACCAGTTTTGCAAAATGATTTGTTTGTTAGCACAAACTCCTGTAGCAGGAGTGGTTATGCTGAGATTAGCTTTTACAACTATATGGAATTGACAAGTGAATTAGTACTCCCCATCCCCCAGACAGCCACATTTTACCGAGAGCTCTCTTCTGCAGCCATGGGGAGTATTTCCAGTGTCACCATTTAACAAATGGAAATATTAAAACACAGAGCACTAAGGGACTTGTCAGTGGTCACACTGGATGGACAAGAGAAAACGCAGGATCTCAACACTCAGAGATGTGACTTCGTCATTTTCCAAGGCTGCTTTACTATGGCTGCAGTCACCCCTACAAAGCTGGATATAACAGCTAATTTGGTAGGCATAATCCTGGTATTTTTCAGGAGCTGGCACAAGTACAGGATATGCAGAGAACTCATGTAATTCCCTTTTTTTAGTGCTGCCAGAAGGCATGTAAACAGTCTTCCTGGTTACTCACCAATGCTCTTACCTGTGCCATATCATCCAAACAGTTGAAAATATACTTTCTTGCTTCCTTCGACTTAATCCCCGTCTCTGCCTCATGATCATCTGGCGTCTGCTCAAAAAAGAACACAGGCATTGGCCAACACTGCCCTGCAGTCAGCTGTGCTTATGTGTGCCCATGTGTGCCTCATCCTGTCCTCATCAGAGACCACTGTGCCTCTCTTGCCTGACCAGACAACATCGATGTGATTTCCGCTACAGTTACGTGACATCTTTTGTGTCACAAGGTGATTTATCTATTCCCTTTCACTTCTGAGGATCCTCCCAACTATGGTGGGTGTTTTACACTTATCCTAGCTCAGCATCCCATCCTTACAGCCAGAAGCCCACTGGCCTCTTGGGGGACTGCATGCAGCCAAACATGCTGGCAACACGAGACTCAGGGCTCACCTGCATTACTAGTGGTTTTGATTGTCAGAATTAAAATGCTTGCCTTTCCCCCTCCCCCCTACAACGCATTAGATATTAAAGGAAGGTCTGCCAAGGGTATGTTTTATTTAAACTACACACCAATTCACCGACTACTTTAGAGGAAGATTTCCAGGTCAATTCTAGACTTAAATTTCCCACAAAGCAATGCTGAGCAGGTGTGTTATGGGCTGCAGACTTTGGGGATGGCAGTTTTACCTTAGGCCATATCCACCCCAATGTCTGCACTGCATTGCAAAAAGCAGAGACCTAGGATCTGAGGTGATGTGAATGTCTCCCCACTTCCAACCAGCTGCAAGGTAAAAAAATTAGGGAAACGTCTTCCTACCTTCAGTCTCCACAAAGGATATGGTGAGTCTGTATCCCTGTTGAAAAACCTCGTAGTCTTTGTCCCTGCACTTAACAAATACTCTGCTGGTAAGCCCTGCGTCTGTGAAATATAGCGAATCTGTAAGAGAAGGGTGAGAGGTCACTGTTTGTCCTGTGAAGATCTCTGGAGATCTTCCCTGAAGGAGTGCAGGAGGCATTTGAAACAAACAATGGAACAAAGAGAGAAAACATAGCACACAGTTAGACTTCACCCCAAAATGTTCAGTGCAAGGAACGAGAAGAAAGAGAACTTCCGTATGGAATTCCCTCGATTTATCATGTACATCACTGGAAACTCATCCTTACAGCACAGTCCCACAAGGCCTAAGGACAAAGACAGGAAAGTCCCTAAGTTTTGGAGATCAAGGAAAAGATCCAGACAGCTTTTTCAATGGGGTGTCTCACCACTTTGCACCTTTTTATGTCACCCTCTCCTCTCCCAGAAGGAATTTCAACAATTTGCTGTTTTTTCTCTAACTTTTGCTGGTTTTCCTCCACCTGAATGCACAGCCTGTCCTGGGAGCAGTTTGAAGTTCAAAATGTAAGGCTTATGAAGTGACTGTCTTTGAACTTAGACAAAATATACACTCGAACTGACGCCCTCATGGTATGCAAAGTACTTCATCTCTACTGACAGCTACATGATGTCATTTATTACGTGGGTTACATCACAAGCACGACCTCACTGGCATCCACACAGCTAAAAGATACTACACGTGTTTCCAGGGTCTCCAACTTTTATTTTTTTATAAAGAGGAAAGGGTCTGTGATTACACAATTAAAGACCAATGTCACACATGCCTGGGGTGCCACATGAAACCTTAACTTTGGCACCCTCTGACTCCTGAATGTTTCGTTCTGAAAAATTGCTGCAGACTCTGCAAAACTACTCAAGAGCAGTCTAGAAAACTCCAGGAAGAACGGAAAGTGCATTTGAGAGAAGAGACAGAGCGGGATAAAAAAATTAATGAAGACATAAAAATCAGTTGATGTTTCAAAGACTTCCAAGCGCTCAGTGCTTGGAAGCTTCCAAGCCATGCACAGTGAACTGAGTCCTTCCAAGCACTGAGTGCTTGGAAGGACTCAGTTCACTGTGCATGGCTTGCTCAGTTCTGCTATTCCTTAGGTCCATCAGAAGAGCTCATGCACCAGAGAGGCACTAGGATCCTGCCTGCAGCCCAGTGCAGCAGCAAGGGGCCAGGATCAGCCCCTACCTCTTTCCCAGTTCCCCAGGAGCCCTCATCATACTTTACCAGAGAAAGCCTTGTGCTGGGCAGTTAAGCTGGGCAGTAAAGGTATGGTGATTTCTTTTTCAGCTGTGTGTTTTATGGCTTTTGGGGTGCAACAGGGAAAGGAAAGAAATTCAGTCTTCATGCTTGGTAGGTGATTTTCAAAAGCTTGTAAGTTTTTCAGCTACATCTGATTTCCTTTGGAGTCACTAACAGCCCTGCTCTTCACTGCAAGTTACTTCCCCTGCCAAATATTACCTTTAGAGCTCTGAGTAAAAAAACACTAGTTTCAAAAGAAGAGTCAAAACATTTAAATATATGAAAAACTTATTATCCTGCCTTTTTTTTTTATTATTTTATAAATTTATTTCCTAAAAGAAAAAAAGACCCTTTTCAGGCTGCATTTGCAGACAGCTAAGATCAGCATGAAGACTGTGGGAATGGGAAGTGTTCCACAGCCCTGGCTCCAGCAGCCGCTGCGTTATCAGTTTTAGGACTACAAAAAGAGCACAAAAGCCTTTAGGGAGAAAAAGGACGACAGCTTATATTAACTGGAAACCTACATCAATGCGAACGTTCTCCTTCTTGTCATTGCTTTTAATATGCACTCTCATAAAAGGGTTACGAAACACAGCCGAGTTTGTGCAGTTTCTTCTAACAAATAAACCTTTATTCAGCACTTGCTGTTACAGCAGAGAAAGGGTGCCTGCTCTGCTCAGCGAGGAGAGACATGTACACAGCTCTCCAGTCAATGGCAGCGCTGACTCTTGATTGAGATCTCACTGAGGCGGTCAGGTCTTAAGAGCCAGCACACCAAGGAGCCGCACTGGTTACCCAGAATAAACGCCCCAGGTGGATAACGACAGGGTTGTCTTGGGAGGGTAAGAAACACAGACCCTTCATTAGCAAAAGTGAAAAAGTTGACATCTGTTCACTCTGACAAGAGAAGGGAAAGGCATCCATGCACTTACCGGGACCCAGGGTGATATCCATACCCACCTGATCATACTCCGAAGCTCCCGGGTACAACGGCCAGCCCAAGAACAGCTCTGCAATGACACATCCCAATGACCACATATCGATTGCTTCACAAAACGGTAAACCAAGGATGATTTCAGGGGCTCTGCAAAGAAAGAGGTTAGAAAACATCAGCAAGGGGAGCAGACCCACTCAGCTGGCAACAAGTGCCACTGCTCTGACAGAGTTGAAGGACCCACTGGCCACGGGCAAACTGCCTGCTAACTAAACATTAGTCAGAGAATATTTATCCTTGCAGAGGAGTACTATGGCTCTATATAGCCAAAAGATCAGCCCTATGTTCTGCAGCGTTTTGTACAGGATAGAACTACTGTTATTTTCATTCAGCAAGTGGGAATGTGAAGCCACCCACTTAAGGCCCCAACTCGAGGCTCTCAGGTCCAGCTCACTGTTCTTCGGAGAACTGAGCAGATGTGAAGCATCCTCTCTTCACACAGACTGGTGGGTTCACAAACAGCCAGACATTAAATAATCATTACAGAACTGGTATAAAAGGATTATTGACTTTTTTAACAAATGGCTGTAACAATAAAACAGAGAAATAACATAATTAGATCTATTAGACCTAAGCCTTTTCCTCAGGAGGAAGTAGCCATGAAGCCTTCCTTTCCTAGTCTGTCCCAGATGCCTGATTAGATTTGTTTTTCCCTTTCAGCCTGAACAGTCAAAATGCAGTGGTACACTGACTATGCATTTACTGTCAGCTTCAGGAGATGCCACCACAGCACCTCTGCCCCCTCCCCTTCCAAGGGGACTCTTTCCCACTGCTTGGGATAGTTTGAATCCTTCTTCACTGATGCTGAAAAGGTCTGTGTGATGAGGTTAGACAAGCTCACTCAACCCCAGTGGCCAAGGTGAGACAAGATGAATCCTGATCTTAGTGCCCCAAATGTTCTGCATTTCAAAACCAACTTCTGTGTGGAAGAACAAAAAGGATCTTACAAATACTGAGAACCTTATACACACACAAACACCCTCCCTACTTTTCCCACCTCTGCCTAAATGTCCACATGCAGTTAAGTGACATAGTTTCTACTTTACACTAGGATCACCTAAAGCTGCTTTACTGCTTTTTTTGCAACATTTCTAGAGCTCCAGCTTCTGAAGTCAGGTGATGTACAGCAGAAAGGGTAACTTCCTTTCCCATACTCCTCTAACTATAAAGAAAAAAGGAAGACAGAGAAAAGAGACACACGTTGCTTTAAAACTCTCATAATTTTAAATATAGCCTAGGGATTTCTTGGGTTCTGATGCATATCTTGGGAATGCCTGGGGTTGACTATTGAGCAAATCAAGTGCCACCATCCGAAGCTTGAAACAGGACCCATGGTTCCCAGTTTCCCATCTGTCATCAGGATAAGATCTGACAGTAGTGAGATCATACTCAGGATTACCAATTGCAGTGGAAAATATTATGTTTTAATCACACCACTACAATCATGTGAAGACAAGTCTTTAGCCAAGAAACCAAGCAAAATGGGTAATTTTTTCCAAAGAAAGAAGCAAAGGTCTTGTAGCAAGAAGCTATGCCCCTTTTTAGTCCACAAAGTCCCACAACTTTGGGTCGACTTGTAACAACAAAAGCCCCCAAATATCTATTATCAAACCAGCAATGCAGAATGTAAAAATTACAGGAAACTCTGGGATTTTAAAGTTAGAATACTTTGTGTCATTACCACAAAAAACAAGCCAGACACTTAAAAACTGGTTACCTTTAGCCCTTCTAGCCACATCTGTGCTTGCTGTTGTTATACTCTACTGTTCTTTAGCCCACTGTGACAAACTTTTTATTCTAACACCAATTTCTCCTTATGAGTAAGGGGTTAATTTTCCTTCTTTTCTCCCTATTCCGTCATCCCTGTCATCCCTGCACACTACTCGACACCTAGACAAAATGCAGAGAGAAAAAGACAGCTATGGTGACCTGAATCTCATTACTATGTAAATCCTGCATTCAAAGCCATCTGCCTCTCCCTGTCTGCCTTCCACATAGTGAACGAAATGTCCCTGGTCACTAATGAGAGCTCAGCCACGAATCTCCCTGAACTTCAGATCCCTCCCCCTAACTCAAGTGGAGGGGTGGGCTCTCGGTGGGATATTCCCAACGTGATTTTGTGTAGAAAACCCCCTGTTTACAAAAATCGCTTGCACAGCTCTCACATGCAGCACACACCTCCTTCCCTCTCTCCCCACACTTATGCTGCCAACACCTCCAGACCCCGGCTAAAAGGGATGACCTAGAATCTGAGGTTCCAATATTTCTAAATTTTTTTTTTTTCCTGAGTCTTTGGCTGTCCAGTGGGTTTTCCTTAAAGCTGCACTTTCTGAAATGCAGTAATTAGGAGAGAATTTCTTTTTTTACAAGCAAAAGAAGTTTTTGCATCTCTGCTGCTGGGAAGAAAGGCACAAACCAGTCTCCGTATTATTTAAACACATAAAATGCAACTAAATGGAACACCATTCATTCTATTAAACCAGACTTATCCTTTTAGGGAGGGGAGATGGTGAGATAGTTTTATTTTATTTTACTTTATTGAAAGCTGGTATTTGCATTACATAATTGAGCTTAAATGTTAGCTGCAATCTTTGCCCGTTAAGTCCCAAACAGATGATCATTTTAGAACAGTGATGAGAATGCCTGTGAGAAGGGGGCCAGATCTAAGTGCTATGGTGCCCTATGTACACCACTTGCTGCACCTTTCTCCCAGCCTTCATGTCATAACTGCGATTTTTCCATGGAGAGGGAGTGGCTCTGAGACAAAAAGATCTTGTTAACTTAATTAAGCAGTCATGAGGATACCACAAGAACAACAGGTATTGGACACCACACAGGCTCCCAGATTTTTAGCCAGCAGACACCTCCTGTCTGCTGTGTGAAAGGGAAAGTTGGAGTCAACAGAGGGAGCAGTGGCTCACCTGCCTGAGATGGCCAAGGCCAATTTTGGTGGAGGATGCTACAAGTTTTGCAATGAAATAACTCATCCACTGATAAAATAACTCTGAACCTCTCTTGGATGGACACTATTGTTCATGCTCAGTTAGGGATGCACACATCCTTCTGCATATAGAACTGTATCTAACATGTGAAACTCCTCTCTTCCTTAACAAAAACATGTCAATTTTCTAAGACAAGGTGAGATCCTGACTTCAATCACACGTTGTAGCACAGAGTTCCACAGACAACCTTCTGCTTTGAATAGCATTTTAACTCAGTTGTTTAAAGCTTGATTTTCATTAATCATGTTTAAATTTGTTACCTCTCACTTCATGTTTACACAAATTGGTCCAGAGGTGAAGATGGAAGTGCTTGATCCACCCTTCCTTTAGCACAAGCTATTTTTATATCTTTGCCCTGTTCTCCCATGCCTGTAGCACCTCATGGCTTCTCAGTGTACCATCCCATGGATGTTTCAATCCACTTCCACTGCCTGACCCTGCCTACAACTCCTCTTCCTGACATGACTGCTTGGAGACAGGCTGAACTGACCTAGCAAGAGTTAAACATGAGGATATTCCCTAGACTTATTTTACACTATTTGCAGAATGCTTTTGCATTCCAGTCTTCCCTAAGCTTAATATTTTGTTTGCTTTTGGAGTGACACGAGGCATTTCAGCAGATGTTTTATCTGGGAGATCCTCTGAGACACACAGTCCTCTCTCCAGAAGAGCTGCAGTTAATTTAGAACAAAGAATTACGTAGAAATAGTTCATGTTTCCTCTTCCAATGTTTACTGCTTTTCAGTACTGCACTGATCTGGCATAATGTTTTCTGTAATCTAGATAAAGTCCTTTCAATGCTCCTCACTCTTTTCTGCAGCCTAACCTAAGCAAGTGTGTGATATCTGCACACTTGAACACTTCACTACTGGTCCCCCACTTTTATAGATAATTAATACATTAAATAACTATGGTCCTAAAATGTGCACGCAGTCCACTCCAGAGCTGACCCTTGTATTCTTAAAAGCACTCAGATCTAGCTCAGCAATCAGAATGGTGTAATTCTCTTTTCCAAAGGGATAGAAAACAGTTTCCATGTCTCGGTCCCTCCTTGTGCGGGATTTCTCCATTCTGCAGCTGCTAACGCTATGCAACAAGGAAAAATGCCCTGTTAAAGTGTGCACATCAGAGTATTGCAATCATAAATTGAAAGGACAATTCACGTGGCAGCAGGTCCTCCTGGAACAGCAGTGAGGTCTTCAGCAGATCTCTCCATGGCTGCACAGGGAAGTGTTTTTTGTGCCAACAGTACATTGAAAGTTTTTTTTTTAACACAGACTCACCAAATCTTTTGATTGTGGTGAGGATCTAGTCTGACACCACACAATTGCAGCCCAGTGCCAGATACCTTGATAAATAGAAGAACATTCCCATTTGCTGCTCTCTGCCAGTTTTTTTGGCATGTGCAACACCCTCAGTACAGTAATACCTGTCTACTGTACAAGACACGTGGAATCAAAACAGAAAACTTTGCTCTCCTATCCTTCCTCTTCCATGAGCTGCCCTCTACATCTCCCAGCAAAAGGCACTCCCCTTCTGCACATGCAAGCACAACCTGTTCTAGAGCTCACACAAATCTCACTAGCATAGACCAAAGATTTAGAAATCATTTGCCATCAACCTGGGAAAAACTGAACAGCCCTGCCAAAAGCCTCTGTCTCCAGAAGAAAAGCAACCAGCCCATCCCCACTTCCCACATCTGTTACCCTTTTCCGACCAAATTACTTGCCTGGACAGCAAAGGGTGAACTGCTCCTTGGCTCAGCACTGGGTCCAGCAAGTCCCTCACTACTCTGGAGCCCAGCTTGAATGTGCCCATGTGTCCCAGAGAGCTGACAGTGCAGGGGAGCCAGAGCATAAGGGTCCACATGCTGGCAGCACTCACAGGTCCTCAGAGGCAGAAGTGCCATTTCATCATTTGCTTGCACCTCACATATGACCCCATCCTGCTTTCAGGCCTGCCGCTGGCAGAGTATTTACTTTAGCAACCCTGCTTTGTGGCAGGGTAATTTCATTGTCTGGTGTTTCTGTCAGGAAAATTAATTACCAGTCTAGCTCGCTGGCTTTTTCACCCACACATCACAGGACA